AATTTTTCTTCTTGCAGTGTTTGGAGTTTCGGGAGAATTTCGTCTGTATTTTAAAATAATAATAGAATCTACAATCACAATGTGATATAAAAAAAAATCAACTCGGCATTTACAATTTATCTTGTTTTGCTTTTAGTAAACATGATTAAAAGTGACGCGTCGATTATCGGACTTCAAGATTGATCATTGGCCTCTTAAGGAGAAAAAAAGTGCGAAAAAAAAGAAAATACTTTTTATTTACCGTGACAATGGAAAACGATCGAAGGAAAAGATGATTATTGAGGAAATTGTCTTTCTTTCCAAAACTTATTTATTGAAACGAATAAATGAATGAATTTGACAGTTGAAACATTCACCTCGAGTGTTTACACTTCACAAGTTTTTACATTCATAAAAAATTTGCACTATTTTGATGAAATTCGAAAAGGAAGAAGTGTTTATAAAAAAAGGAGCGTTTATAAAAAAGGAGCGTTTATGAAAAAAGAACGTTAATAAAAAAGGAACGTTTGTAAAAAAAGAACGTTTATAAAAAAAGAAAGTTTATAAAAAAAGGAGCGTTTATAAAAAGGGAGCGTTTATATTTATATTATTGTCGAGAGAGAAAAAAATTTCAATACCTTTTTCAAATGAGAGATTAATAGTTGATCTTCGTCAGCAAAATACTTCATCGTTTGCTCTTTGCTATAGAGAAATTGAATGCCCTTCTTTGTTCCTCTCTTCACACGGAAGTTTTTCTTCTCGACTCAAGAAGCTGCTGTTTTTGCATCAACCTCAATTCATATTTTCTTTTTTTTTTCTTGATTATAAAAAGAGGAGGAAAAAAAAAGATGAATACTTGACCCCCTCCCTATTAATACATCGGATAAAATCTGACTGAGGCCTAGATGCTCCTCTCGTCGTCTTTATGAGTTCGAAACTTATTTTCTAGTCGTGTTGAGTATATTAATAGAAACCAATATTCACAGATTTTGAAGAAATTTAGCGACAACTGATGACGTTGCGCTCAGATTGTTGAAGGTTCAACCTTGAAAATTTATCCCTGAATTATTTCTAGAATTTTCAGTCGGAGAGGTATTTTGATTTTGATTTTTTTAAATCAGTTTTGTAGGTGTGGAGATTTTTTTCTTTTTTTCGACAATTCGTCGATAATTTGCAAAATGTTTCGTATTGAATCTTTAGGCTTGCTCTAGTTTTCTCCTGATTTTAAACTTATTTCGAGGTGAGTGCGTGGATTTATAGCTCGCTAGTTATAGTCGCTGCGCGACCCAATCTTAGTCCTCTTTCGTTATTAACGTTGAATTCTTCACTTCCCGGTTTTGCATGACTTTTCTGAAAACGAAACTGTTGGGAATTTTTCTTTGAAATTAGGGGAACGTTTGATAAATTCGATTTTTTTTGACGGATGTAAAATATTTAAATAAATATTTATAAAAATATGAGAGAAATATTTACAAAAATATGAGAGAAATCTTTTTTTAAAACAATAGGAAAATAGTTACAAAAATATTAGAGAAATATTTGCTAAAAAGGAATATTTACTAAATTATTAGAGAAAAAAATTCTTTGTTAGGAAAAAATTCGAAAACTATTTTATTAAATAAAATAGGTTTTATTTTTCTACGTTTTAATTATTTTATATTTTTTTAAATAGATTTTTACTTAACTGATAAATTTAGAAATTAGAATTTATTTATTTGTTTATCTACACGAAACAACGTCACTATTAAAGTTTGCCTTCAGTTCAGAAAGAAATCAATACGATTATTTTGGAATAATAATATTTTCGTGTAGGTATCTCTGATCGAGTGCCAAATTTTTCCAAAAATTAAAAAAAATTTTTTTAATAATTAATTCACCTTGAATTTTGCTAAAAGTCAAAATTTAGATACTTTTCATTTTTTTTTTTCAATTTTACACTTGTTGATAGAATTGTGAATAAAAAATTTTACAAGTAACGAATATTTTATTATTATTAATAAATAATATAAATAATAATTAATTAATTCGTTGTTAGTTAATAAATATTAGCTTATTAATTTTTTGTTAATTAATTTCTAATTTTATCAGTTAAAAAATCTATTTAAAAAAGTTAAGTAAAAATTCTTGATAATCTTTATTAATTAATAACGAAAAATATTCATTTACATTTTTTAAATTGTCATCAAAAAAATATTAATTTTCAATGGTAGTAAAAAATTAATAGTGAAAGTAAACTTAATTAGTAGTAAAATAAATAAAAATAGTAAGAGAAATAATAATAATAAAAATTTCAGCGTTTTTCAAGAGTGGGTTTCATAATTATAAAAATAATAAAGTAATAAAGATAACTCTGTTTTTTTTCGATTTTTAATTTTTTTTTGTGCTTTTTGTTAACAAAACAGAATATTGCCAAAGAAACTAAAAAGAGATTAGTTTGTAAATGAAACATTGTTCTATTTTTATATTGACGGAAACTTGCTTGATTCAATATCTTTGTTATATTTTTGGCAACTATATAAGATGGGGAATTTCTGTGAATTCACTTTTTCAGAATGTTTCACTGCGATGTTAATATCTTCTTCAATGCTGGTTAATGTAATTTTATCTGTTTAAAAAAACTATAATTTCACTGAAATTTTATTTTGAAAAAATTATTTGTCAATGTTACAGAAATAATTTTTTTATTTAGAAAAAATACAATCTTACACATTTTTCTTGTTACTATTTTTTTATTATTATTATTATTGTTATTACACTTTTTTATATTTAAATGTTTAAATATTTAAATATATTACTATTTAAATAATTATTGAATTTTAATAATAAATTATTAAATACTCAAGATAAAGATCACAGAATTTTAAACTTTCATGTTTGTGAGTAAGAAAAATATTTGCAAAAAAAAATTTAGTTTTTTAAAAATAGTTATCGAATATTGTTTTTTTTTGCTATTTACAAGCTAAAGAGGTCAGTAACATTATGTTCTCAATGTTTTGACCGAAGAGCAGACAGTTTTGTTAAAAATATTTTTAAAGCAATCGGAGAACATAAATTCTAAAAAAGTAGGAATTTATTTTCTTTTAATCAGAATTTTCGAGGTGAATTAATAGTCAATTTTTTTTTTTTTTTATAAATTACTATTTCAAAGGAATATTTTTATTGACAGCAAAATATTATTATTTTTTATTATTAATAATCAAATCTTTATTATTAATAATAAATTTCGTGAATAATTCCGAGAAAATTCAAACAATTTTATTATTAACAACAATTTCGTTAGCAGTAATAACAATTTTTTTATTAAATTAATTAATTTAATTATAATTATAATTAGTTAATTTAATAAATTATTACTATTACTAATGAAATTGTTTATAATAATAAAATTGCTAATATTTCTAATGAAATTGTTACTAATTTTAATAAAATTGTTCTTATTATAATAACAACTTAATTTATTAATATAACAAAATTAATAAATTATGAAGAAATAATAATATTCGTTAATATAAAAATATTCCTTACTTTAGTAATTAAAAAAAAAAATGTTCCGTTTCCGTTTTGTCTATTTAATTATATGTAAATTTTAAATTTAACTTTCTGAACTTTCCGGGTTTAAATATAAACCATTTCACACGTATTTTGAAACAAGAATAGTTTTAAAGAGATTGCGATAAAATTTAACGTCATTGATATTTCCACTTATTTATACTCTTAAAATTAAATTGCCACCTTTTTGGTTTATTTACACAAAAAAAAAAGAAATAGTTTTTTTCTGTTTGTAGATTGAGCGACAAGTTTTTTTTTGCTTGAGAGGCTTTTAACTGTTTTTTTTCTCTCTCATGTTGAGCAGTTTAGAAAAATGTCTCTCTTATGTTAAGCAGTTTGGAAAAAAAAGTAAAAAAAGAGAAAAAAAAAGAAAAATATCAGAAAAAAGAAAAAAATTTGAAATAAAGAAAAAAATTCGAAATAAAGAAAAAAATTCGAAATAATGAAATATGAGAAAAAAAGAAAAATGAGAAAAAAAGAAAAACAAAATTTGATGGCAAATAAAACATTTGCCATCAAATTTTGTTTTTCTTTTTTTCTCATTTTTCTTTATTTCGAATTTTGAAAGAAGAAAAAATTTTTTTTACGTAATTCTCCTTCTCGGCCTTCGCTTTTTCTCACTTCTTCTCTTTATATACCCTTTTATCTTTCTCTCGCGAGATTCTGCGTCTTTTTTCAATTCTCTCCTCTCCTCGATTCGCTGCTCTTGTTCTCTCTCCGCACACGCGTTTTCACGAAGAGAGGAGGACGGCGGCGGCGGCGACGAGCATTATTCGTTGGAGCAAAGGCAACACACAGAAGCAAAAGTTAGAAGTAGCAGCAGCAGTAGCAGCAGCGTTAGCCAGCCTGATTATTTTTAGTACCATGAGTATTTGGCGGGGCGAACCGACAACGATCGGCTCTCATCGTTGTCGTATGCGTCGACGTCGTCGTCTTCATCTTCGTCATCGTCATCGTCGTCGTCTTCGTCGGTCCTCGCGAACATCAAGTCTTGACGGTTCTCCTCCTCGTCGCGACACTCAGTTGCCACTCTCTCACACTACTCTCTCTTTGCATTTCATCCCAAAACAATCCCCCATGTTTTCATTCTCGTTATGATTCTTCATCTAAAGCCGGTGTTATTATTCTTCATCATCGACAACGAGGTTGTCTCATCGTGTCGAAATCCTCATCGCGCGCGTCCCTGTCGTCGCCGTTACGAGAGAGGTCGAACCTCATTTATAAAAAAAAATTGAATATTCTGTTGATATTTTTAAAGAATTGAAAAAAACTTGAAAAACAATTGAAAATTTAATTCGTGAAAAAAATTTTTATTATAAAAGTTTTTCTGTTAAATTTGAGTTATTAATAAATTTTTCCTTAATCAACAGGATTTTCCAGAGTGCGAGAGTGATTTTTCAGTGGTGTCTTCATTTTTTTGTTTTTTTGATGGCTTTGGATGTAATTTTATTTCTCTCGGGCGAATAGAAAAAAAAATCTCTCCTAATGTTCATATTCGCTTCGAGGGACAATATGTCAACAGCTCGGCAAGATGCAGCATCAACACCACGTCGTAATCGATACACGAGGTCATCGACGAGTGTTACTCAATTGTTGAGCGATTCCTGTACAAGTCTCCTGCAAAGATTGACCACACGAGTACGGGGGCCATCAACAGCCACCGAGAATTTAAATAATTCCGAGAGAAAGACACCAATTTTAAATCGTCGTGCAAGTACAAGAAGTCGTTTCGAGGACAAGTACACGGCAATTCTCGATCGTTACACAAATTATCGTAAACGTGACGACGATCATTCGCGACGTGATGCAACAACGCCAAAGAATCGCGATGAAAAAACCCTCGAACCATCAGCACAAAGAACAATTGTTAAGAGTCCAAGAGCAAGTGTTTTACTCAGTGAAAAAGCATATCCCTACGTCACTGGCGGCAGTACAAGTACTCGAACATTTCAAATTGATAAAACACCCTATCATCAATATGGAAGGCATAAATCCGGTAATTCCGAGTCGAGACGATACAAAAATCGACCGAATAGAAGTGGTAAAAGTGAACAATTAGAAGGCACATCCCATCCATTGAGAGAGTCGAGAAAAACAATTGATGTTGATACGAAAACATCGAAGGCATTAATGAGAAAGGATTTTGCACGCAAGGAATTGGAAATGAGGGAATTTGTACGTAAGGAATTGGATAAACAGGAAACTGCGCGTAAAGAATTGGAAAAAGAGGAATTTCTCCGTAAAGAATTGAATAAAAATAACAATAATAATAATAATGATGATGTTGATGATGATCCAGAGAAAACACCAATTGCTAATAATGGAATTGAAAATGATGTTGATAATGATCCGGTTTTACGTGAGAGGGAAGCGCGAAGAAAAGAAATACAGAGTTTAATATTGAAATATGCCGCATTGGATGAGGTGTACAATAAATTTGGAAATTCTGGCGAGAAAGAAGAGCAGAGTACTGCCGATAAAATAGCCAGCAAGTATCAGAAGAATAATTTAAGGAATGAGAATAAAATCGCGAATACGAGCAATAACGACGCGGAAACAGTGACGAATTCGATTGTAAGTTGTCGAAAACGCGTGAACGAAAATCATCGATTTTTTTTTTTGATCCGCCGCATGATTTATTCATCTCTCCAAGTTTTTTAAAGTATTTTGGTTTTTACCCCTTTTCTCTCTCTCTTCACCCTCTCATCAAGTGTGAAATGAAAGCATTTTTCTATTGGCAAAGGTTTAACGGATTTTTCATTTATATTTGAGGAAGAATCAGATTTAAAAGTTGGTTTGATTAATTTTATTCTCTTTGAATATAAATAAGTTTCTAGAGAATTTATTTTAAATAGGAATTATAATTAGTTTTAAAAAATTGAATTTCTGCGAACAATTTTATTATTTAGGAAAATATTTTAATTACGAAGAATTTCATCAAAATTTTTTGAAAATAATTGGATTTCTGTCAAGAATTTTATTATATATAAAAATAATGGAATTCTTGCGAATGATTTTTATTAAAATTTTTAAAAATAATAGAATTTTTCCAAACAATTTTTTTAATATTAAACTGAAAATAATTGAATTTCTAAAAGGAATTTTATTATATTTATAAAAATATTTGAATTATTATAAAGAATTTCATGAAAATTTTTGAAAATATTTGAATTTTTGTGAAGAATTTTATTATTAATGAAAATAATTGAATTCCTACAAAGAATTTATTCAATTATTTTCAAAAATAATCAAATTCTTTGAAAAAATTCAAATAGTTTAAAAAATAATTTAATTTTTAACCAGAAATTTTGTTAAAATTGAACTGAAAGTAATTGGATTTCTAAAAACAATTTTATCCAAATTTTTTAAAATACATAATAGAAGTTCTACAAAGAATTTTATTATTTTTTAAAATAATTGAATTTTTGCGAAGAATTTTATTATTTTTTAAAATAATTGAATTTTTGCGAAGAATTTTATTATTTACGAAAATAATTAAATTTTTGCGAATGGTTTTTATTAAAATTTTAGAAAATAATTGAATTTCTAAAAAGAATTGTAATATTTATGAAAATAATTGAATTATTGTTAAGAGTTTTATCAAAATTTTTGAAAATAATTGAATTATTATAAAGAATTTTATCAAATTTTTTTTATTTCTGTGAAGAATTTTTTATTAATGAAAATAATTGAATTCCTACAGAGAATTTTATTATTTTTTAAAATATTTAAATTTTTGCGAAGAATTTTATTAGGTACTTATGAAAATAATTGAATTATTATAAAGAATTTTATCAAAATTTTTAAAAATAATTGAATTTTTATAAAGAATTTTATCAAAATTTTTGATAATAATTGAATTTTAGCGAAGAATATTGTTATTTTTTAAAAATAATTGAATTCCTGAGAAGAATTTTAGTTATTTTTGAAAATAATTGAATTGTTTTCAGGAATTTTATTGAAATTTTTTGATAAAATGAATAAAATAATTGAATCAATTTTAAATAATTTTCTGAAAAAAATTTTTAATTTTAAATAATTCAAATTTTAATAGAAATGAAATTTTTGTTATTAATTTAAATGCGAAGAAATAATTTTTATTTAAAAAATCACGAAAATATAACTAACTATTTATCTGATTCTTCCTTATGAACTAATTTTTGAAAGAAATGTTTTTACATTTTTAATTGAAAGTTCAGTTGATTATTTTTGGGATTTTCGTCCTTAAAATTTACAAAAACAAAAAAGAAACTTGACAAATTAAAATATTAATTTTCCAAATATTATAATGAATTAATAATAATTTTCCATTTTTTACTGTCGAAAGAATTGTTTTCTTTATTATTCCATTTAGATGTTTGTTTCTCTTTTCGTTTCTATTTTTGTTTCGTTCTAAACTAAAAAAATTTGTTGAATATTTTGTGATTTAAGAATTTTTTTACAATGTTTACATTGTTTATTTTTGTTTATATTGTTTATTTTTCTTCACATTGTTTATTTTCGTTCGCATTATTTATTTTTGTTTTAATTAAATTATATTAAATTCTATTTAATTTGGCAAATGATAAATTCTTTTTTGAATTTAAGGAAAAATTGTGAATTCTATGAGTCAGTGTCTATTTTCAAAAATGTTTTCAAGCATTATGTTAAATGTTAAATAAATAATTTTTGAGACGAAATTTTGTTTGATATTTTAACCGGGAGGGTATTTAAATTATTTTTAGTGGGTTAAAAATAATTTTCAACAATTTATCTCAAAGTAATTAATTATTTATATTATTTTTGGAAAATTAACTTTTCGGAAAGAGGAAATCTCAATATTTTTATTTGTCTTGTTTCTATTTTAGTTTTTCTTCAAAATTATTTTCACATTTAGAAATAAAGTTAGTTAATATATTTATTATAATTATAAAAATTAATTAATTAACTTTTGACATTTTTTCACATTTTGCAATGAAAATTTGCAAATTAAAAATAAATTTAGTTTTTTTCTTAGAAAAAAAAATATTTTTTGTCTCTTTTTCTAAATGTGAAAATGGAGAAATTTATTCATTGAATTCAATATTTTAACCCTTGGAACGTAAATCGAAAAAAGTAGAAATTTAAGAATATCTTCAACAATAAACTTTAATTAAAAAAAAAAAAATTATTTGCAACTGAATTTTCAGAGTTTTCTTCTTTTCGCTATTAATAATTTTTGAAATATTTTCGCTGGTTAGATTTATACTAAGTTTATTTGAATTTCTTACGTATCGCACAAAGTTAAATCAATTGATCCTATATAAACGACTAAAGTCCAACATAAGATAAACATGAACTTTAATTAATCGTTTAAACATTTTTTTTTGTTACCAATCGGTATCTTTAAATGCGTTCAGAAACACTGAGAAATTAAAAAAAATTCAGTTAATTGTTCTCTACAAATTTTCCAAACAAATTTTCTTTCAAGAAAAAGGTTTTTTGACATTCTTTTTTTCTCACAAAATTTACTTATTTTCTTGTTAACAATGACGAATTATTGCTTTTCAATTAATTTGGGTAAATTTTTGAAAATCATTTCCATTTTTTGGATCAATTTTGGAAAAAATGAAGTGTAAAGAAAGTTAACTTTTTTTTATTCTCGGCTAAATGTTTTTTTGACATATTAATGAATTGAAAGCAACAAGTGTTTTTATTAATTAGCGTTAATGAATAATTAATAATTATTAATTATTGATTTGTTAATTGTTATTAAGTATTAATTATTAAAATTAATATTTATTAATTACTACTAAGTATTAATTATTATTATTAATATTTATTAATTGATATTAAGTATTAATTATTATTAATATTTATTAATTATTATTAATATTTATTAATATTTATTAATTATTATCAAATATTAATTATCATTACTATTAATTTGAAAATAATTATTAATTATTAACGTGAAACGTAAAAAAAATTCGTGAAATATTTTATAGATAGAAAAAATAAAAAAGTCAAGTTATCTTCCAATAGTGAATAATTTTTTTCTCTCGGTGTTTTTTTTTCAAAAAGAATCGACACTATTGGTTTTTATTGTGACTGGAAAATATTGAATAAATTTATCATCGTCTTTTTCAGGCGAGTGTCTCGGAAAAAGAGGAATCCGTTGAAAATCATGTATGTGTTTACATAAAACACTTGTTGCTTTCAAACGAGATATTATCCCTCGTGACTTAATGAGGTCACGTGGCCCCATTTCGAACGTTATATTAAGCAGAGTTCGACTGCGAATCTATCCCACTTTCGACTAAAACTCTTCGATTATCGTAGTCGACCTTTGCGTCGCATCATGGCACTTTTTTTCTTTTTTTTTTCTTTTTTAATAAATAAAAAAATATTAATTCCAATCAGTGGAGGATGTTGTCTAGATGTCACGAGATGATCACTTTGTAATGTGTTGCCTTCGATTATAATTCGCTTATTAATTTAAATTTCTCTTTGGACTCGAAACGAAAATAATTATTCTTCGAATTTTTAATTTTTCGGAGCTAAGTAGTTGGAGTTTCTTTCTAATTTCTATTGTCTTCTTTTCCAAAATTTCTTTATTTGTTAATAATTAATGATAATAGGGATATTTTTTATTAATATTTATTTATTTTTATTAATATTAATTGTTATTAATTTAATAACAATTATTTATTTCAAACCATTCGGGCCGATACGAAAAATTATTATAATGTTAATAAATAATATTAAACATCTATTTTGTATTTTTTTTATTTCTTTTAATACAAGAATAATTTCTTTTTAATCGAAATTTTTATTTAGAATGTTTTAACTTTTGTATTGTGAATTAAATTTTTTTTCTATTTTACTAATTTTTTTCTTCTATTCATTAATTTTCTTTCTTTTCTTTTTTCTTTAAATTTGTCCTATTCGGTGAATTTTACATAATAGTGAAAAAAGTTGTTTTTGGGGTTATTTGGTACAGTTAAAATTGACAACTGGGTTTAAATTATTTACGATCGGGAAATTATTCAAAGTGAATTTTCACGTTTCACAACCTTGACATTAGCAATTATGCGCGCAACCTCGAAATTTTGGCAACTTGTGGTCTATGAAATATTTTCTCTCTCTCTCTCTCTCTCGCTCTTTCTTTCTTCTCTAGAAGACAGTAGAATATTTGGAATTTCGTTAAAATTTTCATTATTTCCATTTTGAATTTATTCACGCTTTGTGAACGCGAGTGAAACATTTTCACGGAGTATAATTGTTTTTTTTAGTCTTTTTTTACTTTTTTTTAATTTTAAAGATTCTTTTTTTAATTCAGTTTTAAGTGTTGAATTATTTTCTAGTCAGTTGAGTTATGAATTTCTTGAAAATGGTTAAAGTGTTAAATTCATTGTGGATTTTGAATTCGATAAATGTACTAAATAGTTCATCAAATTTATTATTGACTGGTGTTGAATATGAAAATGAAAATAGTGTCAGTCCTTGTGAAATAAATAATATGAAACAGGTATGATGGCTAAAAATTACTTTAAAAAAAAGTTAATTAAAAAAATTATTTGACAAAAATTAAATTAATTAATTAATTAATTAAAAATTACTTTGAGAAAATATAGACAACATTCTCTATTGTTTTTCGCTTGTCTGGCAATTTTATAATTTCACAATTTATAATTAATTCACGCATTTTTTTTTAACTGTGGGTTTTCCCCTTTGAAAAGCAAACTTCGATAATAATTAATGATGAATCAGAGTTTATTATCCGATAAGAGTAAAACAATTGCATCACTAAATGTGCTTCTTGTTCTACATTCATTTATTTTTGTACGTTACATTAATTGTTGTTTAAAATTTACTTTTAGTTATTGTTTTTATTTTTGTATCAAAAATTTGCTACTGTAAATTAAAGTTCATTTTTCCTTGAACTTGAAAAAATTGAAAACAAAGATTTATTCTATTTTCTTATTTATTTATTATTTTTTCGTAACGAAAAATATTTTATTGGAATTTATTTTATTTACAAATTCAATAAAAAAAAAAATTATTTGGAAATTTATTCTTTTCTTAAATTTGCTTTAATTTAAAAAAATTATAAAATTGGATTTTTATTTGCTAAGAAATTTATTTTTTGAAACTTGAATTATTTATTGAAGAGAATTTTTAAAAATAAATAAACTTAAAATATCGTTTTGATTTTTTCTGTTTTACTTTTTAAAGGATTAAAAATATTTACAGAAAAATACGTAAAAACTTGTTATTCATTTTTTACAGAATTTTTTTCTTTTTTTTTTTACTTATTTCAATAATTGAGGCCTTGGATCCAATAACTCGCCCGACGCTCGAAGACACGCGCTAATACCAGTCGGGTAGCAGTGAGTGGCCCAGAGGCGCTCACTGCTCACTGACTGGCAGTTGCGCGTTCCTCCGAGCGTCGGGCGAGTTATTGGATCCAAGGCCTCAATTGATTTAATTTAATTTTTATCTTAATTTAATATAACAAATAATTCAATTCGATAATTCTGTAATTTTTATTTTATAATTCTGTTCAGAATTAAAAGAATAAAATAAATTTTCAAGTAAAAATGTAATAAAGTAGAATCAGTAAAAAAAATCTAGAATCAATTATTTTATAATTTTTTTTATATTATTTTGATATTATTATTATTATAATTATTTATTATAATTAATATAAAATACAGATTAGAAAAATAAAATGAAATTTGAAGATTAAAATTACAACGCAATGGAAAAATAATTATACAATGAGAAATGGAAAATTTGCAATGTAAAGGGTGGAAGAAAAAGATGATTTTTGTTTTGAGAAACAAAAAAGGAGAGAATTGTGTGTGATGGTAGTTTGCATCAATTGGAACACGATAATTTGGAACGCGTCGTTAAATTTTAAAGTTTGTTGGCTGAGACTTCTCGTTAAGAAATTGTCGTCTTAAAGTATCGTCTTAAAGTATTTGGCATCGGATAATGATTACTTAAGAAAAATTAATTATAAAGCATCTACCAACTGCTATTCTATATTTTCACCCTAATGTATAAAATTTTGATTTATTAACGCGAATGCTTTTTTTTTTAATTTTACGTGTCCAGCTGTAAAAAAATTGTTTTCTACCTTTTTAACTGAATTTATTTTTTATCGTTTGTTTATCACTAAAAAAAATTCTGTTCTACTTATTCAATCGAATTTATTTTGTTACCATTTTGTTTATCGCTAAAAAATTGGTTTCTATTTTTTATTAAATTATTTGTTTATAAGTAGAAAGTTTTTTGTTTACGTTTTTAGCAGAATTTAATTTTTAAGGAACAATCCTAGAAAAAGTCGGAAAAGGTTCATTCAATTGCTTGCAATATTTCGAATTTTAAATTTGGAAAAACAAATCTTTAAATAAATTTTGATAAAAGGGTGAAGAATTTAATTTTCAAGTTTTTGACGAATTGACAGTAGCATTCGGATAAAAATTACAATTTTCTGCGTCAATAATAAAGATAAAGAATTTATTTAACATAACCTAAAATTTAACGAATATTACTAATCTTTCTTACTGACAGAAAATTGTAATTTTTGTTCAAAATGAAACTTTTAATTTGTTTGTCAATAAAAAAATTTTGTTTTTACCTTTTTAACCGAATTTATTTATTTGTTTAAAAGTGAAAATGTATATTTATTTATTTAAGTAAATATTAATATTTTTTCTTATTTTTGCAGAAAAATCGGGACAAACTACAGAATTGGTATTGGGCTCGTAAAACGCGAAGTTGACTGCAGATGAAAATTGAATCACTGAAGTTGTCCAGCTTGTGAAAATTGTTCTGCAGACAAATTCACGTCTTACTTAACTGAATTTTAATTCTGCAGTTTTTTTTCCTATTTTCTAACAAAAAAGAATCGTTCTCTATTGAAAGTAAAGAAAAAATCGTTTACCGATTCACTTGAAGAAGTGAAAAGATGTTTCACTTTAGTTAAAGTAATCTAGTTACTTTAGTAGTTTAATTAAAGAAAATTAGTTAAATTCTTTTAAACTTGACAAGAAACGGTTTTTTGTTACAGAAACGAATTGAAAAATTCGGTAACAAGTTTTTTTTTATTTGATACATTGAAAAGTGAATTTATGGAAAGATACGAAAATATCGAAATAGTATTCTCGTTTTTCGAGAATATGAGGTGTTTTTACGTAATTGTGGGTATTTTCTCCTTTACATTGCAAAGAATGAAAAATATTTGTATAACAGGCACACAAATTGATACAATTGTTTTTTCGTAAAAATTCGTGAATTATTTTTGTTTCTTTTTTTTGCAATCATCTATTCAATCTGCATGCTTTTTTCACTAAAAATACTGTTAATGAAATAATTCCTCTACAAGAAAAAAAAAACTACAAGCACGCATTTACTTTTTTTCCATTAATAATAACCAAAAAAAAAAAAATTTTTTTTTTCTATACACTGTTGTTTGTTTGTTTGTTTATAATAATATCTACACGTAGTTTTATTGTCTTAAGTCAACTGCTTTGACTAAATAAGTTCTGAGCAATTAAGATACATAATAATAAGATACATATAAATATATATATAATAAAAAAAAAAAAATAAAAAAAAGAGCGCTTTGTGCCGATGGTAAATTCGTAAACCGCAACTCTCTGACTTGGCAAACCATTTTGCCCTCTCCCCTTTCTCTCTGATTGTTGGGTTACCATCTCCGTTGTTATGGAATGGAATGGAACGGATTTTGGAACAATGGATTGATCTCAATGGTTTCGACTCGGCCGCACACTGATGATGACGATGATGATGATCGATGACGATGATGACCACCACCATGATGACAATGATGATGATGATAATCGAAAAAAAATTGGGAAATTTATTTCCCCCACTGACGAAACGCTCATCAATTTGTAATGTCTGGTCTTTTTTTTTTTGCTATATTTTGTCGTCGATTTTTTATTTGATTGAATTTCTAATGAAAAATCATTCGGCGAAATATATTTGTAAAAAAATATTTAATTTCGAATATATTTAAAAAAATATAATTGACCATTTGGACATTCCTCGTTGATTGAACGACATTTACAATTTTGAACAAACGTAACGTTACTCACGACGATAATTGACAATTTGACAAAAAATTTGACATTAAAAATGAAAAAATCAACAACGTCAACAACAACTGGATTGGCCTGCGACAACGACGACAACGACAACGATGCGGCGATGCTGTGGACGTCACGCAATTCAACTTCTTCTTCTTCTCCTCCTCCTCCTCTTCTTCTGCTACTTCCATCCATTCTACTTCTCGGTGTGTCGAACTACTTGGGGGATTCTGAATCGATTTGGTGTGGTGATTGTGATACCGAAATCCGTTAACCGACAATAGAGCCCACGAGCACCCTCCGTCGAGGATGACGAAGACGGCCACCTTATTTACCAAACCGGCGACATCCTGGCAAATAGATGTTCGTGAATACGTGAATACACTCATTGTAGTAGATTTAAGCAAGCCTGAGATCGATTTCATCTATCGATCTAATGGTGACTGCAGTACTTCCCATTTTTCATTTTTTTTTTCCTTTTTCTTTTTCTCTTTTTCACACACTGTTCATATTGATTCTTGTTTTTTTCATTATTTCTTTCTAAAGGAACAAGTCGAGGGGAATTTTTTTGATTTTGAATTTGTAATTTACTTATTTGTAAATAATATTCAATTAATTTCATTTTTGATGAAAGAAAACGAAAATTTGCTTTGTTTTCTTTGTTTTTGCGTTTTAAGAGTAAATTATCGAATTTTTCTGGAAAAGTAAATTTTAGGTTCTGTATTTTTTTTTGGAAACGTAAATTTCGATTTTTTTATTTTCGGGGACATTAAATTTTCGGTTCTGTATTTTTTTTTTTGAAAAAGTACATTTTCGGGGAAAGTTAATTTTCGCTTCTATATTTTTTATAAGAAAAAGAAAAATTTTCAGGGAAAGTAAATTTTTGCTTCTATATTTTAAGAAGAAAAATAAATTTTCGATTTTGATTTTTTGCAGATGATTTTTGAATTGTCGAAGAAAGTAAATTTTCGGTTCTGAATTTGATTTGAAAAAAATTAATTTTCAATTTTTTTATTTTCGGAAAGTAAATTTTCGGTTCTGTATATTTTTTGAAAAAGTAAATTTTCGCTTCTATATTTTTAGAAGAAAAATAAATTCTCGATTTTGTTTTTTTGCAGATGATTTTTCAATTTTCGGAGAAAGTAAATTTTCGGTTTTTAATTTGTTTTGAAAAAATTAATTTTCAATTTTTGGGGAAAGTAAATTTTTGGTTCTGTATTTTTTTTTTTTTAAAAAGGTAAATTTTCGATTTTTTTGTTTTCGGGGAAAGTAAATTTTCGCTTCTGTTTTTTTAGAAGAAAAATAAATTCTCGATTTTGTCTTTTTGCAGATTTGTAAATTTTCGAATTTTTTCTTCATATGAAAGAAAAATTTTTTATTTCTGTATTTTCAGAGAAAGTAAATCTACGATTTTTTTGTTCTGATGAATTATTTTTTTCACTAGAATACGAAATTTTAATTTGACAAAATAGAGAATTTTTTACGTTTGAAAATTCTTAAAATACAAAAATTGCGCACTTAAAGTTTCTTTCGAAGAGAAGAGAAGAAAATTGTCTCATTTGAAATTTATAGAAACGTTGAAAATTTTATTTTAAAGATTAGAAAATTTATTGGTACGTCTCTCTCTTTCTCTCTTTTTTGGCACTGTCGCGAATTTTTATTATTAATATTTTAATAGATTTTTTCGAAATGTAAAAAAGAATGAAATATTTATTTAGTATCAAAAAATTCAATTGCGATACATTTTTGTTTTACAAATATAGGAGAAAAATACAAAATTCAAGAAAGTAAAGTTACTCAAATTTGTAAATTTACAATTTTCAAGATCACAAATAATAACTTGTGATCTTGAAATTTTCTAAAAATACTTGAACGTAAAATTCGTTTGCCTTGGTACCATTGAAGTTTAGCTCAAAAAATGTTTTAACTAAAAATTATTTTAACTAAAAAAATATTTGAATCGAAAAAATATTTAAACCAAAAAAGTATTATCACTAAAATATTATTTTATCTTCCGAAAACAAAATTAATTTCTTGAACTTGTTCCTTTCATTTTTCTCGACAACACATTTTCTTTCTTTCTCTTTCTCTCTTTTCCTAAACTGACTATATTTTCAAATATCCTCTTTTTTCAATTTTTCTAACAAAGATACTTTTTCTATTTTTTTCATTAATTTTCTTTCTAATTATTTTTTTATTTAAAGAATTCTTTTCTTCCTCTCTTCTTTTCTTTAACATCTTTTTAATTTTTACTTTTTCGTTGAAATTTGTTTCTCATTCACTGAAAATTCACTATTTTCTTTTAAATTTTTCTTCCCTTTTTTCTAATTCTATTCTTTTTTTCAGTCACATTTTCACTTATATTTTTCATATTGTTTTTTAATTTTTGTTTCTTTTTATTACAAGTCTGTAGTCCTTGTACTGCGACACGATAACCCAACACACAAACAAAAAATTGCCTCCCCGCGCGATTATCATGCAGTCTCGATATTCTTTGTTGTAAATCACAACGAATCACTTGACTAAATTTACTTTTTTCATTATTCAGGAATAATGTATATCGCGCTCTCTCTTTCTCTCTATTTCTCTAGTGACACGTAATCCCTTTTTTCAGATGGTGACAATTTTCCATACACCGCGATCTTCGAATTAAAAGCAAAAAAAAAAAAAAAAAAAAAAAAAATAGAAAAAAAAACAAAACTGGAGAATAGTTTTGATGATTAAAAGAAATTAACGTCATCTCGAGCTGGGTTATCGACTAGCGAATTTTAATGAATATATTAATTTTGAAAATAAATAATTTCTTGCCGATTACCCTCTTCGGAATGGCGTTTTATTTGTCCACACGAAAAATGCATTTGCTCTGGATTCCTCGATTTTTTTTTGCATTATTATTGGTTTTTTTTTTCTTTTTTTTCTCTCATTGTAGTAATTAAGTTTGATTAATGTGAGACAGAGCCAATGTTGCCTTGCGTGTCGCATTGATTCGTGTATTAGGATTGACAAGATTTTTTAAAAAAGAAACGACAAAATTCCCTCAAAGAGTTTGGAAATTCATCTTGGATTTAGCGGCAAATTCTGTTTTTACAAAGTACGAATTTTTTTTTCTTTCAATTGTAATTCAAATTACGAGGTTTTTGTTAGAATTAAAATTAAAATTACGAATTTTTTTTTGTTACAATTAAAAATAGGATTTTTTTTGTTACAATTACAATTAAAATTAAAATTTCGAACTTTTTTGTTGCAATTACAATTACAATTAAAATTACGATTTTTTTGTTATAATTAAAATTAAAAATACCAACTTTTTGGTTTCAATTACAATTAAAATTAAAATTATAAACTTTTTTGTTACAATTACAATTAAAATTAAAATTACAATTTTTCAAAATTCATTCGATTGATTTGTAATTAAATTAATTTTCATTTGCGTATTTTTTACTCGTTTTAGACTCGTTCTGGACAATATTTATTATTTTTGCGAAATTTTTCGAAGAATCGAGGGAAATAATTCTAGATTTTCTCTTTAGGAAAAAGGAAAATAAAAAATGAGAATTTTCCCAAGATCCGAGATGAAAAACTGAACGAGTCACTTTTACTCTTAATTTTAATCGTTTTACACTTGCCGAGCATTGAAATGGGAGCTTCTTGAAATTTTTTTTTAGATAACTTTTGCACGTTAGAGGAATTTTTTTTTCGTTTCATTTTTTATCTGTTTTTTTGGCTCACTGAGAAAAAGAAGTAAATTTAAAGAAACTCCCTCGATGTGAGGCACATTTTTATCTGATACTTATAGAATATTTTATATTACAGATAAGGTACTCGCCACCCTTGGAGAGGGTACTTTTGGAAAAGTTGTCAAGGTTGTCGACATGTTAATGTAAGTTCAAGCACCATTTAAATTCACGTATGTATATTATAATAAAAAAGAAAAATGAAAGATCTGTTTTGAAATTTGAATTTACAGAAAATGCAATGCAGCTTTCTCTATCTCTCTATTTTCTCGACCCGAAATCAAAAATAGCTAGACTGTCATAACTTAAGCACTAGTCACAATAATAGGATAACCTTGCACTTTGTTTCGACGCGCGCATCAGGAATTAAATATTTTTCTCGTCGATTTTTTTTTAATAAATTCATTTCTTAATTTATCCCTTTTTGGAATTTGTCTTTTTTTGGGGTAAGGAGATACTGGGGGAAAAAAATTTTTTTTTTATTTACATAATTGAATTTTTATTAATAAATGGTTTTTTTCTCTTCTTTTTTTTCACAGGGATCATGTGATGGCGCTGAAAATAATCAAGAATGTGGAAAAATATCGAGAGGCTGCTAAACTGGAGATCAACGCGTTGGAGAAGATCTCGTCGAAAGATCCAGAGGGTCAACAGTTAGTATTTAAATCAACAAGAGAGTCCAAAGGAGCGCGCAGCCGACGAATTTGAAAAATTTATGGCTCGACGTTCAAACGCTTTTAAGATGCTATGCGAGCTCTCCATTTTTTTCTATCTCTCTCTGTCTCTCTTTTTTGCTTTTTATTTCAGTCTTTTTTTTACTCATTGACATTTTCTATTTTTCAGCTTGTGCGTCAAGATGTTGGATTGGTTCAATTATCGTGGTCACATGTGCATTGCCTTTGAAATGCTTGGTCTCAGTGTCTTTGATTTTTTGGTGAGTTTGAAATTTTTCTTTTAAAAATTTTCTTTCGTTTACAAATACCTTTGAAATTAGAGTAATTTTTTTTTAGAGAATATTTTACCTTTTTGGCTATTTTTCCGACTGTTTTAAAAAACTGCGACATTTTTCGACTTCTTTTGATAAAATGGGAGTTTTCCGACTTTTCTTTCGGATGTTGTAACTAAATACCACTTTTTTGGTAGAAAATTCAAATAAATTTGCTTTTTTCTTTTGCAGAGAAATAATAATTATCAACCCTATCCATTGGAGCAGGTGAGGCACATAGGGTACCAACTTTGTTACTCCGTCAAGTTTCTTCATGACAATAAACTGACGCACACGGATCTCAAGCCAGAAAATATTCTTTTCGTTGACTCTGATTGTGAAGTAATCAGTAATGGTAAAAAGGTACGTTTTTGTGATATTTTTGGTAATAAATTTTCCAATTTTTGTTTATTTCTTTCTTTTCGGTTTTTGTATTTGAAATTGAAAAATAAATAAATGAATAAATTAAATAAGTAATAATAATTAATATTGTTGTTGAATTTTAGCGAAAAGAAGTTCGACGTGTGAAGAGGACAGACATCAAACTCATTGACTTTGGCAGCGCTACTTTCGATCACGAACATCACAGTACAATTGTCAGTACAAGGCATTACAGAGCACCAGAAGTTATTTTAGGTAATTCTTCAGTTCAATAACTTCAAAAAAAAAAACTAAATAAAACTTCAGTTTAATTATACATTAAAATTTAATACTTTATTTTAATTTAATTTTAATTTAATTCTAAATAAAAATTTAACTTAAAGTAGAAATTAATTAAAAATGTCAATTTATATATTTAATTAAAAATATTAATTGATTGATTACTTGATAAAAATATAATTTAAAGTAGCGACAATGAATAAAATTAGAAAACTAGAAAACAGAATTGTATTTTCTAATATTCTAATTTCATGAATAAATTAAGTAATAAAATAAAAGGAATAAAATTGGATTTGATTAAATTTGAAATTGAATAAATTGAATTGAATTTAGAAAGTAGAATTTTGTTTTAAGTATTTACGAATCGTTTTTAAAATTTATTGTTTCCACAGAATTGGGATGGACTCAACCGTGCGACGTGTGGTCCATTGGTTGTATTCTCTTTGAATTGTACCTGGGTATTACTTTATTCCAAACTCACGACAATCGCGAGCATCTGGCAATGATGGAACGAATTCTTGGACTAATTCCATACACAATGGCTCGCAAAACTAAGACCAAATATTTTTATCACGGAAAATTGAAGTGGGACGACAAGAGTTCTGCTGGTAGATACGTCAGGGATAATTGCAAACCTTTGCACGTGAGTTTTTTATTTCAAGAAATATTATTTTTTAGGGAAATACATTAATTTAAAATTTTCATAAATTTTCTTAAGAGAAATTAATTAGATAAAAAAAATTTTATAAAATCCTTCGAAAAAAAGTCGATTATTTTTTAAGGATTTTAATAAAATTTGTATAATTATAAGAATTCATATATTTTTAATACAAAATTGTAATTAAATACGTTTGAAAAAATTTTAATAAAATTCTTTGCAAGAATTCAATTATTTTCACAAATAGTAAAATTCTTCACAGAAATTCAATTATTTTAATAAAAGTTAATAAAATTCGTTGCAAAATTTCAATTATTTTCATAAATAATAAAATTCGTTTCAAGAATTCAATTATCATTAATAATAAAATCAAATTAATTAAATTAAATTAAATTAAATTAATTAATTGATTAAATTCAATTATTTTCAAAAATTTGGATAGAACTCTTCAAAGAAATTCAATTATTTTTAGAAAAGTTGATGAATTTCGTTGCAATAGTTCAATATTATTTTCATAAATAATAAAATTCTTTGTAGAACTTGAATAATTTTTAATACAATTTAAAATAAATTCCTCGAAATATACAATTATTGTTTAAAATTTTATTAAAATTTTTAGAAGAATTATTTGTAAAATTTGTTGATAAAATTCTTTAAAGGAATTCAATTTTAAGAAATAATCAATTGTTTATTCAATTATTTGTTTCCGTATTTAAATAATTGAATTCTCTTAAAACTTTCTGACCAGAATTGAATTTAAAATTCAATTTCAGTTAAAATTTTAAATGATAATTGAATATTAGAAGCGTTACCTATAGTATAAATTTTGAGAAATAATTTAATTTCAATAGATTTTTAAATTGAAGTCTTTGAAAATTTTAATTCTCATAAAACTAATGTGTGATAAAATCATTATTTTATAATAAAGAAATAAATTTAGAGTAAATTTAGATAATTTTTTTTTTTTTTTTGAACAATTTTTTATAGAATAATTGTTTTATTTTTCAGCGCTACATATTATCGGAAGAGGACGATCACAGACAACTTTTCGACTTGATACAACAAATGTTGATCTACGATCCCTCTCAAAGAATAACCCTAAAGGATTCATTGAATCATCCATTTTTTGATGCACTACCAGCGTCGCAAAAATTGACAGACTTGAGAGCTGCTGGTGATTCACAGCAGACGTACGAACGGTCTCACTCGCTTTCTCGATGAAGCTAGGACAGGGACCGACCTCCATACCAAGCAGATACTCCCAAGAAGAATTTATTATTATTTTCTCGACTAAATAATTTCATCAATAGTATCGTTCGATCATACAAGTCATTCAACTATAGAATTCGATGACGCCTTTTTAGAGGTGCTTCTGTTTTCTTTTTATTTACATTGTTAAGGTAAGAAAATTATTTTTCTTTTTTCTTTTGTCTATACCTTTGAAAAATAATCAAATTCTCTTATGATTTTTTTATTAATTGATTTTGTTTAGTCAAACTTGAAAAGTAAAGAAAAATTCGAAATTGTAGAAATTGAAAATCAGAGTGTCTGCTCGGTAAAGTGAAACCGCGTCCCACTATTTTGATAGTGAAATATTTTATAAACGCTACTCTGTACATTTTATCTTGTAATTTTATTACGACGTTACAACGAGGGAGGTTTAGAGAAAATGAGATTGAGAGTGAGTGTCAGTGAAAAAAAAAGAAACAAAACAAAACAAAAAAAAAAGAGTACGTGATAATTTGTATGTTGAAAGAAAGCCGGTCGTTGAGTTTGCGAATTTAAACTTGAACGCCGGATTGGATAAAAACAAAAATTTTGTATAGGATAATAAACTAATTTTAGAAAGTCTTAGTTAAAAAGAGAATCGAATGATAATCGTTTAAAAAAAACAGCGAGCACTTGAGTGTTTTTTGTTAATTTTTTTTTTTTGTACAAAAAAGTAACTTGCCAATGATAACGAAATTTTTTTCGTAACAAATTCCTTTTTTTTTATTTCTTTATTATTTTTTTTTGTCTCGACAAATAATCATCGGCCATAAAGAAATATGAAATTTCTTACACAGAAAGAAGAGAAAAATTTAATTTTTTAAAGATTATCGGAAAAACCAATTTCGATGAACAATCGTGTGCTCATCGTGATAAATAAACAAATGTAAACTTTTGTCTTGTAAATACGACTTGGGTAAAATTGTACCTATTCGCTACGTCATGTTTAAGTAGTTTGTCAAGTTGTAATGTACGATATTTCTCCTTTATTTTTATTTATTTCCTTTCTCTCCGCGTTTACAATCACATTAGGAAAAAAAATAGGAATCTTAGAAAATGTTTTGTCCCTAAGCGAGAATTTTTCTCATTTCAATAATATAGAAATAGAATTTTTTGAAAATAGTACACAAAAGAATTCTTAAATGTGAAAATTGTTGTAAATAATTTTGCCGCAAAATTTCACGAGATCACAAATTGTATTTTAAACTTGATTAAAAAAATGTACTTTTATCGTAATTGAATATCAAATATATTCAGATTAATTTTGTACATCACACGTCCTTCAAGTGTTTGTAATTAATAATTAAAAATGAAAATAAAGGAGACTAATTGAAAAAAAAACTATTTTGGTTGAAAAGAAATTATTTTTTAGGTTTTGCACTCATCTACTAAAATCTTGAAAATTTCAGGGTTGCCACACAATCTGGAAACCTGGAAAAGTCAGGAAATTTTTATCGAAATCCTGGAAAATTGTTGTTTACTAAAGTTATTGTGTTTATTTTTGAAATCTAATTTTACTTAAATATTTCAGAATTAAGTCAATTTTAAAAGAGTTGCGTTTACAATTTTTATAAATAGATAAACTTCGAAAGGTTTTATTCGAAATTTTGTAAAATTTCACTTTTCAATGAAAAAAATTTTAATAACTAAAATTCGTCTGAAATTAGTTACATTTTTTAATATATATTTAACTGATTATTAAAAATCATGGATTTATAGAAGAATTTTAGTTAAAAACACTAAAACAAATTGAATTTTGAAGCAAATACAAATGATTGCAAAAATTCAATTATTTTCAAAAGTAGTAAAATTCTTCTAAGAAATTCAATTATTTTCAAAAACTTTCCTCAATTTAATGATTTTTAATATCTACTACTTTAATAAAAATTCTCAAAAGAATTCAATTAGTTAAAAAATATTTTAATAAAATTCTACGCAAACACATCATTATTTTTATAAATAATAAAAATTCCCCAGGAATTCAATTATTTACAAATTATTTTCATAAATAATAACATTTTCTACAGGGATTCAATAATTTTCATAAATAATGAAACTCATCGCAGACTTTCAATTATTTTCAAAAATTTTAATGAAATTCTTTGTAACAATTCAATTTCTTTTAAAATAATTTTAATAAAATTCTTCGTAGAAATTTAATTATTTTCAAAAATTTGTCAAAATTCGATTATTTTCAATGTTTACTATTTCAATAAAATATCACAAAAGAATTTAATTATTTAAAAAGAAATTTTCATAAAATTCGTCTCAAGAATTCAATTATTTTTTTAAATAATAAAATTCGTCCCAAGAATTCAATTATTTTATTAAATAATAAAATTCTTCGGAAAATATCAATTATTTTCTTAAATAATAAAATTCTTCAGAGAATTTCAATTATTTTCAAAAAGTTTAATAAAATTTTTTCTAATAATTAAATTATCTTCATAAAAAATTAAATTCTTTTGAAGATTTTAATTATTTTCTTAAATAATAAAATTCTTTGAAGGATTTTAATTATTTTCAAAAATTTATTTCAATTCTTCGCAAGAATTCAATTATCTTCATAAAAAAATTCTTTTGAAGATTTCAATTATTTTCATTAATAATAAAATTCTTCGGAGAATTTCAATTATTTAAAAAAAATTTGAAACAAATTCTTATCAAGAATTCAAATTTTTTCATAAATAATTGAATTCTTTACAGAATTAAAATAAATAATAAAATTCTTCGGAGAATTTCAATTATTTTTAAAAATTTTAATAAAATTCTTCGCAAGAATTCAATTATCTTCATAAAAAATAAAATTCGTCTCAAGAATTCAATTATTTTATTAAATAATAAAATTTTTCTCCGAAATTCAATTATTTTCAAAAATTTTTATAAAAATCTTGGCAGAATTTCAATTATTTTTAATACAATTTTCATTAAATTTCTCGAAAAATAAAATTATTCTTACAAATGTTATTAAAATTTGTTAAGAGAATTCAATTATTTAAAAATTTGTTGATAAAATTCTCTATAAAAGTTGAATTTTAAGAAACATTCAATTATTTAATAAAATATTTGTTTTTCTATTTGAATAATTGAATTCTTGTAGAATTTTCTAATAAATATTGATTTAAAATCTATGAGAATTTGTACTTTTCATACACTTTTAATTAAGAATTCTGTAGAATTAGTTTTTTTCAAAAAGTTGAATGAAATATTTTTTTAATTATTTGAAGTTTTTAATTTCTAATATATTTAATTGAAGAATGTCAGAATAATCAACATTTCGTAAAATTAAATTGTAAACAAAATGATTTGAAAATTCTCAATGTTCTTTTTCAAAAATTATTTTAAAAAATTGACTTATAGAAGAAGTTTAGTTGAAAAGTCTAGAAATGAATAACCGAAATAATGAAAATAATTTTTGAAAAAGTTACAGTGACAGAGTAGTAAGTTTTATTTATTGAATTAAAAATTTTTGAAAATCTTAATTTCTATGAAATAATAATAATGATTAAATATTTATTTCAAAATAAAGTTCTTTAGAGTCAGGGAAAAAGTTAAAGTTTTGTCTTGAAATCAAGGAAAAGTTTGAAAATCAAGGAGTTATTTAATTTGGTAAAATATAAATGTATTTTAAAAACCTGAAAAAATTTCGTTTTTTAACCTGGAAAACCTGGAAAACTCAGGGAATTAAAAAAGAGCAAAAGCGTTACAACCTTGAGTTTAATTTAATTTAATTTGCAATTAGCAAAGACTTTTTTTCCCTTTAAACAATTGATTTTTTTGAAAATAAAATGCACTTCAGTTAAAAGTAATGTTTTTTTTATTCATAATCGTGGGTCACGTTTACATAGATTTACAAGTAACTAAGCTGCTACAGAAGTTTATGGTAGATAAATGTCATCAGTGTTTTGTTTCTCCTTCAAACGATAATAATAGTAATATATACAACATTGATTATTATGCGTGTACGTGTAGTGCTATTATTTTTTTTTTTTACTTTTATTTTATTACATATTAAAAATGAAATGTATTTTAAAGAGAAAAATCACTTATGCAAATGGGTGGCCCTAATTATTTAACAAATGCCTAACGAGCTTCTCGCTAAATCACAATTGAACATGACAATAATACAAAAAACGAGCATTTTGCATTGTCACAAAGCGAGCCATCATCATCGGAATTAATAACAAAAAAAATTAATGAAAAACCACAAATTTCTTTACTACCAATTCTTAAAAAAAAGGAAAAAAAATTCTACCAAATATTATGCTCATCATAAAAAAAACAATCTTATAAAATAAATAAAAACTTTCGTTAAAAAAGTGAATAATTACATTTTTTTAAAATTTAAATACTTCAAGAATTTAGAATTTACAAAAATTTTTTAAAAATGTTTTCCATGTAATTTTTTATGCTTTTTTTTCTTTTAAAATTACGTAACGTAGCAGTAAGCCGCATTTTTTTTTATTTCTAAGATTAATTCTAATAATGATCATGATGATATTTTTTCTAATAATTAATCGTCGTAAGAATTATATAGTCGCTAGAGTAATATTCGTCCTATGTAACAGTCTTTTTGGCTAAACTTCGATCTATGAACAAAATATTTTTCCATTCCACCGCTCGTTTTCTCTTTCGTTTTCATATTTCTTTTAAAATTAATTAAAATCAGATAAAGACAAATAAACGTACATTTTTTTTCTATTCGATAAAAGAGAACTTGTAAACATTTTTTTTTACAATTCTTTTTCCTAAACTGCACAAATCAATAAAAATCAGATTTATTCCATAGATGTGTTTTTTTAAAGAACAATTTAAGATTTTATCAAGAATATTTATGCAGTAGAAGTAAAAAAAAATGTACGCAAATAATATACAAATAATTTGTCTATAATATTGCATAAGATTCCTAAACATAATTTAAGATTTCGCACATACTTTATATTTAGATTATATAGTTTTTTTTTCTTTACTTTAAGTGTTGCGAATTTTTTCAGACGTTCATTTACAATAAATTAATTTAATTTACAAACATTACAATTCTCGTAGAAAATTTTTCTTTTATTACAAATTGACGCTTTTAAAAAATACGAAAAATTAAAAAATACGAATAAACAACAATAGTACAATTTTTAAATTACAAATTTCGACAACGAAAATAATTATATGAACGTCTTACAAACGATTTGCAACATTTTCTCTACAATTGTCTCGAAATATATTTTATTTTTTAATTTCCATATATTTTATTTTTTTTATTTACTGGCAAACCGCGTTTTCATTAAAGAAAAGCGGGTATCGAGACACTCGAAATATTATATATATATATTTATTTATATATATAAAAAAAAATTCTACAGAAGCGGAACATTGATAAAAGTCTCGAAAATTTTTTTTTCAATAATAAAAAGCGATTCTAAACATTTATACATATTTTTAATTATTTATATATATACTTTTACGTCAGATCTCTCGCTCGCTATATTTACAAACTTAACAGATAATAATGACAACGAGAAGTTATATAGTTTTTCATCACTATTACGGTCGTAGATGGTTTTAAAAAATAATCATTTACACAAGAATAAAATAAAAAAATGCTATATTATATAAAATCGACGAGAAGAGTGTGAGATTTCTCTCGTATAGCGAGTAAAAAACAAAAAAAAAACTCGCAAGACGCGAACGCGAGTCTAGGAATCGAGGATAATAAATAAATTAAGTCGTTTTGATTTAGTGAAGAGAAAGAAATTAGAAAAAAAACATTCGACTGTGTTTTTCGCCAAGAAATAAATTTTCTCAGCCATTTTCCTTTTTTTTCTATAATACTAACTCTAGCCAGGCGCTTCCAATAAAAACAATAAATTTCGCGACAATCTATTTTTTTGCTTTTTAAAAAGGACCAGATTAAACAGCCATTGTAAAATTTACACAAAATTAATTAATTAACAAGGTCCACTAAACATCCTTGTTTTCTTTAACATCAGTATTACGAATTTCACTGTAAAATTTGTAATCAATTTTTTTTTCTGTAATACTGAGTGAAAAACAATTTTTTGGTTATACATTTAAAAAGAAGCGCGAGGCATGAGATTTACTTTTTTTTTCTTTTTTTTTTAAATAAAATCTGTTAATTGCACGCAAAACATACATATTTGTTTATCACCCATCATCCATTCAATTTATTCAGAGCGTAGCAGTCTTTCAAATTTATAATTTAAAAAAAAAACTTCAAGTTCCCTTGAATAAAAAAAAAAGTTAAAATTTAAATTAATTTTTCAAAGAATTTCAATAATTCTTTCTTTTTGATATTTCCTTGAAAAAAATACTTAACAAAAAAAAAAGTGTTTTACAATCTTCAAGAGGAAAATTGCAAAACAATTTGAAAAATATACAAATTTTACGATAAGGTTTGTCCTTAATAAATTTAAACGTGTCAAATAAACAAATATTAAATACTTTAATACACTAAACGAGATTTTTTTCTTTTTAAATATGTTTAAAAAAAAAGAAAAAAAAATACTTGTCAACATACTCTTTTTTAGAAAATGGAAAACGTTAATTAAATGAGACTGCTTCGTTCTGGATTTGAACGAGCAAAGATTTTTTTTTCTTTTTTTTTTTGTTAAACTAAATCTCGGAGATTTTTCAGAAAATGAAATTTTATACCTCTTCACGAGACAATAGTACGAGGTGTCTTTGCACTGTTGCTGGTTGGAGTCGTGAGGTCCTTACTTGCGGATTGTGCAAATAATACACCTTGATACATGGTTCCATTCAATTCTATACTAACAACGAGAGAATTGTCTCCGTTACGACCATCGCCTGCAAGAAAAAAAAACAGAAAATTTGTTAGGTGAATATAAAAATTTTAGGGCCAAAAAGAAAATCTATATTTAATAATCGTTATATTCCAGTATTATATTAAAAAATAGAAAATAATTTTAAATTCTTTCGAAGAATAGATTCTATTAAAAGTTTTGACAATAATTGAATTCTTTCAAAAAATTTCTTAAATTTATTGAATATAATCGATTTTCTTAATAATTGTTATTAATAATTTTACTATTAAAATTTTATTAAAATTATTTATAAAAAATTAAATTCTGTTAAAGAATTTTATAAGAGTTTTTGCTTTTTGTAAATAATTGAATCCTTTTGATGAATTTCTTTGTGTTTTCTGTTAAATAATGTAGTTTTTTGAATAATTTTAATTTAACATTTTTGAAAATAATTGAATTAAACAAAGAATTTTTTTAACTTTTTAAAATAATCGTGTCTGTTAATAATTATAATGAAATATTTGATTTTTCAAGTTTATTAAAATTGTTTTCAAAATAGTTAAAATCCTCCGAAGAATTTTATTATTTAAGAAATTAATTAAAATCTTCAAAAGATATTTATTTTTTATGAAGATAATTGAATTTTTAGAAAGAATTTTATTAAAATTTTTGAAAATAATTGTAATCTACCGAAGAATTTTATTATTTATAGAAAATAATTGAATTTTTGCAATAAATTTTACTTCGATAGGATTTCTTGACCAGAATTTGTTTCAAATTTTTGAAAATAATTGAATTTCTATAAAGAATTCAATTATTTATGAAAAAAAAATGAATTCTTGATAAGAATTTGTTTCAAATTTTTGAAAATAATTGAAATTCTCCGAAGAATTTTATTATTTAAGGAAATAATTGAAATCTTGAAAAGAATTTTATTTTTTATGAAAATAATTTAAGTTTTAGGAAGAATTTCGAAAATAATTGAAATCTTTTGGAAAATGTTATTATTTATGAAAATAATTGAAATTTTGCAAAGATTTTTATTAAAATTTGTGAAAAATAATATAATTGTTTTAATGAAAATTTAAATTCTTTGGAGAAATTTAATTAAGATTGTATGGAAAATAATAAATTGGATTTTTGCAAAAAATTTTATTATTTTTAAAAATAACTGAATTTTTCCGAAAAATGTTATTATTTATGAAAATAATTGAATTCTTCCGAAGAATTATATTAAATTATTTGCTTAATTTGCTTAATAATAAATGAAATAGAACGTTCCGCTCGCGTAACATTTGCTAGTCGAATTAATAAACTAAAACAATAAAAAAACAAAAATAAAATAAAACAAAATTAATAGAAAAACTAAAACAGAACCAAAAATAAAATAAATAAAAATACAAACCTCTATTGGAGATTGTTATATTGGTGCGTGGATTAGATAATAAAGTTTCCTTCTCTTCGGGAACTTCGTCTTCTAGCCTGAGCCTTTTACTGGCAGCAACTGCAGCTCTGGCAATTAAGTCCTGTTCATTTTTTACTTGAATACTTCCACTTGACGAAGGGGGACTTTGTCTTTGTGGGGATGAAGACAATGGTGATGACCTAAAAAATATTCAAAAATCACTATTAATTTTATAATCGAAAAATAAACAAGATACTGATTAAAAATTTATATCAAAACCAATTTATTTTGTCTCTATTTCTAAATTTTTGTATTTTTCATTTGAATAAAAAACTCGGAACATTTAGTAAATAAAAAAGAAAATAGATTAGACATTTACCTGAGACCAAGATCCAGAGCTTCCCTCTGAGGTTCAGGACTGGAAGCTGGAGGCGCAGGTGAATGTGCCTGCTGTGGTGAGTAAGGTGGATGATGACCAACGCCAGGATAAATGGAATTGTTATTATACAAATTCCACATTGTTAATCGTGACATTTCCAATGCGGAAAAACCGCCGTCACGTGGTGATGTCGATGTTGGCGGCGATGCGCTGCCTTGTCGATGCATCATCATTTGATCTCCAGAACTGGCGTTTTTCAATTCCTTGTTCATAAGCTCTTTATTCAAATGCTTTATGTACTCAAACATTCTAGCTTCCAATTCTGGTGGTACCAATCCTGGAACTGTAAATTTTCATAATTATTAAAAACGTAATTCGATAAAAAAAAAAATTTCTTTTAAATATAATTCATCATAATTTATTTTTTAAAAAACTAAAAGCTCCTATTAAAAATTGTGCAAATAAAATTCATTAACATTTATTTTTTAAATAAACTAAAAGCTCTTAATTATTATAAATCGTGCAAATAAAATTCATTAACATTTATTTTTAAAAAAAACTAAAAGCTCCTAATTATTAAAAATGTAATTCGATCAAAGATCGTGAACATAAAATTCCTTCAAATTTATTTTCAAAATACTAAAAATTCGTTATTATTAAAAATATAATTCGGTACAAAAAAAAAAAACATGCAAATTAAGTCAAAATGAAGAGGAAATTTTGTCTCCGAGGAAAAGGAGAATTGAAAATTGTGTGCAAAGGAAATGAAGAGACATGAAAAAGGTCATGAAAAGGAAATGCCAATGGATTTTTAAATCAAGGAATGGGAAATATTAACGTCACACAAAGTGGAGGAAACACGTTGGTGAGGGAGGTTTTATTTTTTTTTCTCTCTTTTGGTGGAAAGGAGAGAGGAATTGGAATGCTCGTTAGCGAGAGTCATCCGTTAACGCCTGTCTTCCAGAGGATCGTACAATCAATTACGCCTCCTTCATTCTTCGCATCATCATCATCTCTGGGGAGGCCCTTACCAAAAATTTCCTAACTACCGATTTAAAATAAACCCAGTTTCCCTCTGAGATCATTTCTTCCAGACAATGTTTGTCTCTACACACCCTACACCAATATTTAATTCTCTGTTGCTTTTCACATTTTCAGTGGCAGTTAACATTATTACTATTACCATCATCATCATCATTATGGAAATGAAGAAGAAACTGGATATAAATCATTCATAATTTCAAGAAATGAGAAAATCTCAAAACTAGTTTAGAATTTCGTCCATTAAAAATCATCTCTCTCTCTCCGAGAAATAGTAGATCGAAGAAAAAAAAACTGTTTTCAAAAATAACGAATAATAGAAATATTTTATTTCGCGCTTCATTTATCAAAAAATACAAAAATAAAGGATTTTTAACTAATTTTCAAAGCCGAACTAATCGAAATAAGAAATAATTTTCGACAACTTTCTTGAGAAATTAAGAAGTTTGTAAACTTCTTTTCTCAAGTTTTGAATTCTAAAACGACAAAAAATAGGAAATATCCCTAATAATGATATTTTTATAACGGAAAAATAGTAAAAAAGAAAAAAAATCGAATTAGAAATTGATAAGGAAGCTAATTTCAAAATTTGCAAATCATCCAAAAATTGCAAAAAAGCAAGAAATTCTAACTATTCCTGAAGTCTATAAACGATTTTTTTTCCATGAGTTTTTTTTAATGTTATACAAAATTTTGTATTTTGCCAATAAATAACCAGACCAACGAAAATCTTATTTTTATCACATTTAGCAAAAATTTCTAAAATTTTTATCAACAAAAAAAAATTAGTGAAGATTTCAATTTTATAACAGGAATTACTTATTCATTTAATTTATTTTTTTACTTTTTTAAAATTTAATTTTACTTTTATGATTATTTACATATTTTTTTACTTTTTAAAAATTTATTATTATTTGTATGATTACTTATATTTCTTTTACTTCGCAAGAGTTTAAAATAATTTCAAAATTATTGCTTAAAAATGCAATATTCAAAGAATATTTGAAATTTTGTTCAAATCAAAAGAATTTTAAATTATTTCTTCAAAAAATTAAATAAAAATAAAAATTGAAATTATAACTAGAAAATTTTAATAGAAATTCTATCAATTTTTTCTTGGGAAAAAATTAATTAAAGCTCTTAACTTTAACAGTAAAAATTATTCTACAGTTTTTCCGTATAATAAATAAAGAGAAAATATAAAATTATTTAAAATTAGCATTAGAAAATTTATTTCAATCATAAAGTTCCTAAAATTGTAAAATGTCCAAATGAACCAAATTTTTTTTTCATTTTTTCTACAAATTGGATTTTTATTTGAATAAATATTGAATATTTCTTTCTGTTCGAGTACGCAGGTTATTAGTGACAAGTCAAAACATTTTATGGGATCAGAAACTTTATTTTAGCACTTTATAAACTTTATTGAGATTGATTAAAAGCGACGCGAAACATAATAGGCAACTTTTATGTAAGCGAATAGACAGAAAACAAAAGTGAGTGTGTAGAAAAATATAAAGATGCCCTCTTTAGTGAGGAACTTAAATTATAACGTTAGGGCGGGAATTGTGAATACTTAACACCCCCCCTCAATTTATGCCCGAGAAAACAAAAATAAATGTTCAAATTTTAAGTCCAAGATCACGAACACATTTTTGATGTAAACTTTGCGAAAGTCCTTTTGTGAGCACATCCGCCACCATCTCACTTGTTGGTAAGTACTCGATCTTCAACAATCCGTCAGATAGAACTCGTCGAATAAAATGATGACGGATGTCAATATGTTTGGTCCTGGAATGGTGAATTGGGTTTTCCGCCAATCGACCAGCACTTTGGTTATCATTAAAAATGACAAGATTTGTCAAATTTTTGAAGTTCAGTTCCTTGAGAAATTTGACTAAAAAGACACCTTCTTTGGCAGCATCCGAAAGCGACATGTATTCTGCCTCTGTCGAAGACAAGGCAACTGTCCTTTGCTTGCGAGATTGCCAGGAGATTGCTCCTCCACAGAGCTTGAAGATGTTACCGGTGAAAGAGCGCCTGTCGATGGAACAGTTACCCCAATCTGCGTCTGCGAATCCTTGGAGAGGTAAATTGTCCTTCTGGTAGACTAACTCGTAGTCTAAAGTCCCTTGGAGGTAACGTAGGACCCTTTTTGCAGCCTGCCAGTGTTGGTTCTCGTAAGATGAATTAAACTGTGCCAAAACGCTAACTGCATGCGCTATATCAGGACGTGTTCCTTGAGCAACATACATCAGCGCTCCGACGATTTCGCGATAAGGCAAACTGGTGTCCTCGGTTTTCAAAGGTTTGGTAAATTTGCGGCCAAGAGCAAGTGGAGTTGAAATCGGTTTACAATTTTCCATTCCAAATCTTTTGAGAATTTCCTTGATGTATCCCTGCTGTGAAATGGAGACACGATTTTCGCTACGTTTAATTTCAATGCCGAGGCAAAATTTAGCCTCGCCCAAATCCTTGACCTTGAAATATTTTCCGAGTGTTTTCTTGACATGGTTTTCCTTTTGACGATCATTCGTAAGAATGAGAAAATCATCCACATAAATTAGCATGAAAATTTTCTTTTCTTTATCAACATAAATGCAAGGATCGGAATCAGTTGGGAACAAGTCAATACTTCGAAGCACTCGGTCCAATTCGGTGTGCCATTGGCGGCCAGCTTGTCGAAGCCCATATAAGGCCTTTTTGAGTTTACAGACGGCGTTCGGTTTATCTAAATTTCGAATTAATGTTCTCGCCCGTTCTTGAAGGATAGGACCCTTTTCTTCGTTTATCATTCTCGACAGCATTTCTTGCAGAAGTTCCGGTTTTTCGATGTAAATATCTGCATCTACTTTTCCATTGAGATACGCGGTTTCGATATCCAATTGAGTGATCCTAAAATTTTCCTGCGCAGCAATAGCCATAAGTAGTCGAAAAGATCCAAGACGAGCCACAGGTGAAAAAGTCTCGAAAAAGTCAACACCAAACTGTTGAGTGAATCCCTTTGCAACGGTGCGGGCCTTTCTGCGACTTATGTTTCCATCGGCATCAAATTTGTTGCATAAAACTGTACGACACTTGATGACCTTGGCATCGGATGGTTTTGATACAATTTCGAATGTATCATTCAGTACAAGATTTTTAGTTTCCAGGTAAATGGAATTCCGCCACTCGTCCTTGTCTGGTCCAGAAAGAGCTTGATGAAATGGAACTTCGCTTGCAAACATAACTTCATTATCATTATCCCATCCAAAAAATTCTTCTTCACTCGAACTTGAGTCATCACGAGGAGGTCCTTCTGGTATAATTCGTTCTGCCGGCGCAATTTGTTCTTCCACAGGAACAAGATTATATTTCTTCTTAGGACGACCCACTGCTCCAGTTCGTTCTTTACTAGGACGACCAGGTCCTCTTCGTAATTGATCACCAGCATTATTCCGGATTTCTAAAGGCTCATTCGGAATGTTTGGAGGTTGATGCTCTTCATTATCAATGGCAGCAATCGGGATCTCTGGTTGATTCTGGACATCAAGAGGTGCAAGGAGCTCGAAATCGACGTACTTGTTAGTATCTGCATCAGAGTCTGAAACTTGAGAAAAATTGTCAAATTTATCAGTAGAATTTCGAGTTGAATAATTAAGATCAGTTTCGTTAACGAATTTAACATCTCGTGTGACATGAATTCTCTTCTCAGAAGAAACCCAGATCCTGTAAGCTTTGGAGTTTTCGGCGTATCCTACGAAGACACCCTCGATTCCCCTTGGCGCAAATTTATCCTTGGTAGGAGATTTATTCAAAATGAACACCTTCGAGCCGAATCTTCTTAGGTAGTTGACCTTTGGACGTCGACCAAAAATAACTTCGAAAGGAGTTTGTTTTCCCAAGATCATTGTCACACACCGATTGCGTACATGGTTTGCTGCTGAAACTGCTTCAGCCCAAAAACGAGTGGAAAGTTTCGAATCTGACAATAAACAACGAGCTGCCTCCAAAAGAGTTCTATTTTTCCTCTCTGAAATACCGTTCTGTTGAGGTGTATGTGTTGTTGATAGTCGGCGCTGTATCCCTGCTTTTCTCAAAATATCGTCCATTCTCGAGTTGCAATATTCGGTGCCGTTGTCACTTTGAAGACTTTTAATTTTCTTACCAGTTTGATTTTCGATATAGTTTTTAAATTCCAGAAATTTGGAGGGAACTTCGGATTTGCTTTTCAAGAAATAAATTTCAGTCCAGCGACTATGATCGTCCGTAAACGTTAAAATGTAACGAGCTCCGCCGAAGGATTCTTGCCTCATCGGGCCGCAGAGGTCAGAATGTATTATTCCAAGTATTTCTGGGGATCTTTCTAAACGTTTTGGAAAGGGAAGTCTGGTTAATTTCGCGATAGCACACTCATCACACGGAGGAAGTTTTTCTTCCAAATTGAATGTTAATCCATCAACAGATTTATTACGTAACATAGTCGACATGTCCTTAAAATTTAAATGTCCAAGACGCTGATGCCAAATCATTGTATTACACGTCGCGGAACTGGTAGAAATACACGCACTATTATTTCCTTCACGGAGAAAAAATAAGTCACCTTGTCGATCAGCAACCATTTTTGTTACACCATTTGCGTCCTGTACTATAGCACTTGTTTTCGAAAATATCACTTGATGATCTTTATCTACAATTTTAGCAATCGACACTAAATTTGTGCGTAGATCCGGCACGTGAAGTGTATTTTGAAGAGTAATAACACTGTCGATTTTTCCGTCGGAAGTAATAATGTCTACATCGCCCTTAGCAATGACAGGTGCCGTCGCATTGCTGGCTAATCGCACACTAGAATTTACTTCGCACAAATTAGTGAGACCTTTTGAGTCATTGCACAGATGCGTTGTGCATCCACTATCGAGACACCACTTTTCTTTATCAGTCACATTATACACAGATACCGAGGCGGAATTAATTTCGTTTGTAAGAAAAACATTATTCGCGTCATTATTATTTCGATTTTTATTTTTCTTTTTAAAACAATTTTTCGTAAAATGTCCCTTTTTCTTACAATATCCGCACTGTATATTTTTATTTGAATTCGGATTTTCACTGTTTGCACTGTCACTTTGATTCGATGGTTTATTTTTGGGAAATCGATGTTTGGAGAACATGGCACTAGAATCGGAATCACTTTTATGAGCTTTACTTTCACTCTCTTCGATAATTTTAATAATCAACGACTCTACATCGGGTAATTTATCGCGTGATTTGATGGCACAACTAAAGTTATTAAAATTGCTGGGCAAACTGTGAAGCAACATAATCGAAAGTAAATCGCCATTAATTTCAATTTCCATACTATTAAGTTTGTCAACTGTGTCCATGAACTCAGACAAGTGATCGCGAATGTCTGTGTTTTCTTGCATTCTGAGAGACAATAATTTTTCGAGGAGATTCGCTTTTCTCATTGGTCCCTCTGACGCGTAAACAGATTTTAACTTATCCCATATTTCCTTCGAAGTGTTACAGTTCCGAATATGACGAAGTTGCGATGGACTGATAGCGAGAATCAGATCGCTTTTTGGTTTCCGGTCTTGTATGTTCCATTGGTCGAGGGCAGCTTGTGCGGCGGCTAATTGGTCACCTTCACCTTGTAAAATTGGTCGAGGAGTATCTCCGTTGACATAAGACCAGGTATCATCTCGAACTAAAAGAGCTTCTATTTGAATCCGCCATGTATCATAATTGAGCTTGGTTAAAAGCTCAATTCGCGCTAAACCGAAAGCATTCGCACCAGCCATCGTGAGATATAGCGTACGTGCGTGTGTGAACTACGAAAAATGGCGTCGACCGAAGCGTTCGAGGACGCTCTACCGTTTCGAGAGAATTTGCGGTTTATTTGCGCGATTCCGGACCTGGGCCCATAACCTGTTCGAGTACGCAGGTTATTAGTGACAAGTCAAAACATTTTATGGGATCAGAAACTTTATTTTAGCACTTTATAAACTTTATTGAGATTGATTAAAAGCGACGCGAAACATAATAGGCAACTTTTATGTAAGCGAATAGACAGAAAACAAAAGTGAGTGTGTAGAAAAATATAAAGATGCCCTCTTTAGTGAGGAACTTAAATTATAACGTTAGGGCGGGAATTGTGAATACTTAACACTTTCTAACTTAATTATATATTTTTATATTAAAATGTAAACTTTTTGAAATAAATGAATATCATCTTATAATAAAAATTTCAGTTTTAGTAAATATTTTTATCTACTTTACAAAATTTCTTTCATTTACACATTCAAAAATTAATTAATTTATGAATTAATTAATTAATAATTAATAAAATGTAATAAAAATAAAATACTATTCCCCAATGTTCTCTATTTTTGGCAAAATACACCCGGAAAAAAAATATTTTACTCCGAGCCTACTATAATTATTTATTTGCTTCTTATAAATTTTATTTGATTTCAATAAATTTTATTTGTTTTCAAATAAATTCCATTTGGTTCAAAAAAAATTATTATTCATGCAAAACAAAATTTTTATTCGAAACAAATAAAAGTAGGCTGCGTAAAAAAATATACTTTTCTTCGACTCAAAAAAATATTATTTTGATAAATACCAAAGGAAATTTGGTCAAACAAAAGTCGAATAAAATATTTATTTTAATAAATATTGAATGAAATTTGATATTTTTGGAGTCAAACAAAAGTACATTTGTCACAGAATTTACTAAATTATATATTTGTTTCAAATAAAAATTTTGTGAACACAAATAAAAATTTACAAATTAAAATTTGAACAAAATGAAATTTATTTGCAAAAAATAAAATTTATTCGAATCAAATAAAATTTTCATACTTTTAATAGAATAAATAAATAAAGAAATTATTTCCCTAGATTTTCAGTTTTGCATCACATTAATAAAACATTAGGAAAAAAAAGCATCAAGAAGAAAAAAAAAATGTGCAATTTCAGAAAAAAATTTCTCGAAACTGAAGAAATCCTTTCTGATTATGTTTTTCGACCCCAGAAAAAAAATGAAAGGCGAAATAGGGCGTGTGGGGGGTTTGGGGGGTTGAGATTTAATAATATTAAATCATTATTGATAAACCAGGTACCAATAAATATATTGGCTCACCGGCATTAGGTTGTCCCATTGTTCCTTGTGGATGCTGTGGATGATGAGGATGTGATAGGGGTGTATGAACACCGCTTCCATTAACCAAAGATTGTGGCCCGTGATGTTGACCTGTCACCGCTGTGACAAGTGACAAGGGTGACATTTGTGGATGAAGGGCCAATGAATTTGGTGTGTGAGGATTCCTCTGTACCAGGGTCTCACCTGCACCACCGTATGCTCCATAACTGCTCCGTCGTCCCTCCCTTCGATTTCCATCGATTGCCGCCTGTAATTCTGCTGGCGTTGACAAGTGCCTCCTGTCGCATTCGTATGGATACAGGTATTTCATGTATCTGCAAGCAAAAAAAAATTTTTTTTTTAAATTTTCCAATCAAACTTTGTACCTAGTTTTCTGTTTTTTACAAAGTTTATTATTTTTCCATTTTCCGTAAAACTTGGTATATTTTTATCTTTTTCTAATTTCCATTAAATTTAGTATTTTTCTGTGTTCCAGAAAATTTAGTATTTTTATTTGTACGAGTAATAAGAAACAAATTGTAATAAATAAAATAGTAATAAAAACGAATCGTAACATAAAAAAATTCCTAAAACAAAAACCAAATAAATATTTGAAATCTAAAAATCTATATTAATAATCGTTGTATTCCGATAATCCTAATTAAATTCTTGTAAAGTGATTATGAAAAAATTTGAAAATAATTGAATTTTATGAAGAATTTAATTATTTGCAATAATTGTAATAAAATTCTTAAGTCAATTTATAAATAATAAAAATCTTCGTAAAAAATTAAATTATTTTTATATAATTAATTAAATTCTTATCAGGACTTCCCTTATTTTCAAAATACAATTATTTCAATTGATTTCATCTAAAATTTCAATTATTTTTTTAAATCTTGTAAAAATTCTTCGAGAAAGTTTAATTACTTAAAAAAAATAATTGAATTTTTCACACGAGTTCAATTATTTGAAAAACTTTTAATAAAATCCAATTCCAGAATTAAATTATTTTTTAAAAATAATTAAATTTTCGTTGGAATTAAATTATTTTAAATGCAATTTTAATTAAATTCCAGGGAAAATTTAATTATTTTTAAACTTTTTTTAAAATTTCTTCTAAAGAATTCAATATCAATAAATAGTAAATTTTTTAGAGGAATTCAATTATTTTAAATATAATTTTTGTAAAATTCTTCTCCAAAATTCACTTATTTTTTAAAATTTCCACAAAATACAATTATTTCAAAAATAATAAATTCTTCGCAGGGATTCAATTATTTAAAAACGATTTAATAAAATTCTAATCAAGAATTACATTATTTTCAGAAATAATTAAATTGTCGTTGTAATGAAAATCAATGAATTCTTCTAAAGTATTTATAAAAAAATTTGAAAATGAATAATTGAATTCATTTTAAGAATTTCATCAACATTTTCTTCAAGAATTGAATTCTTTCGAGAACATGTAATTAAAATTGTATTGAAAATAATTTAAAATAAAGGTTTTAAAATAATACTGTGTATTATTAATTATAATTAACAAATTTTCCTATTAAATTATATTAAAATTATTCATAGAAAATTAAATTCTATTAAACAATTTTAATAGAGTTTTTTTTTAATAATTACATTTTTTTCGGAAAAATTTCATTAAATTTCATAAACATAATGTAATTAGTTTAAATATTTTTATTTGAAAATTTTGAAAATAATTGAAATTTACAAAGAATTTTATTAAAATTATCTTGAAAATAATAATAATAATTGAATTTTCTTATTTACAAAAATAATTGAATTCTTGCCAAGAATTTTACAATTTATATAAATAATTGAATTGTTTCGAAGAATTTTATCTGAATTTTTGAAAATAATTGAATTTTTTTAAAGAAATTTGATTAAAAATTATGAAAATAATGATTTTTTTAAAAGAAATTTTAATTTCATCAAAATTGTTGAAAATAATTGAATTTATATTAAAATTCTTGAAAATAATTGAATTTAATTAATATTTTTTTAAAGATAATTGTATTCTTTCGAGAAATTTTATTAAAATTGTATTAAAAATAATTGAATTCTTGTGAAGAATTTGATTATTTAAGAAATGGAGTACCGCTAGTTACAACAAAATTTCAATTCTTGCACAAATGAATTTAGATGAAATCAACATTTTTTTCGATAAATTTATCAAGAGAGGAAATTTTCTTTATTCCTGAGAGTGATTTGTGAGTATTTGCGCGGGTGAAACTAAAAATTGACGAGCATCAGGCAAACCTCTGAGTCGATGGTTTTCGAAATTGCCTTTTTGCCTCTCCTTTCACCCCGACAAAGAGGGATAATTCGTAAATATTATTTATTTTGACGTGGTATATCGATTTTGAGTGAAGAGAGAAAAGAAGAGAGAGAGAGAGAGAAAGACGCCTTTCTCGTATACATGTACACGCGCCATATACAATACCAAAACCTATAATTCGCTCAGGGATCGTTCGGTTTTTACGATTGTCTGCCAGACTGCAGGCGAAACTATACTGAAAAAAAGCTCGTACGCGCCTTCGACCATCCATTTGTCCATATGAACCGGTATATAGATAAACATTTATTTCCCACACTACCTTGCTATTATTTCTTTTCAGAAGAAATTTTCTAAAAAAGAAGGAAAAAAATTGAGAGAAAGAGAGAGAGGGAGAGAGAGACATATACAAAAAAAAGGACAATTTTTCTCTTCTCTACTACAGAGCAAACTGTTAAATGCATTCAACAAAATAAAATAAGCCCTATTTTCTAATATTGATTTCCCTGATGGAAAAAAATAGTGATTGTTCTGCATATATTTACTTTTAAAATATGTAATCTAAATGATTTTCTTGAAAAATGAAATTTCCACGAATCAGAATGAATGTAATTTATTTTTTTTCGTCGGCGGATTGTAATTTTTTTTTCATTAAAAACGTATATTTTCAGTATCAAAAGTGTTTATTTTTATTTTCTTTAATATTTTCGTCTCAAAATCAAAAATATTTTTGCTATCAAAATAGTTTCAGTCTCAAAAAAGTTTCACTATCAAAAATCATTTTGCTATCAAAATAGTTTCAATCTCAAAAAAGTTTCACTATCAAAAACCTTTTTGCTTTCAAAATAGTTTCAGTCTCAAAAAAGTTTCACTATCAAAAACCTTTTTTCTATAAAAATAGTTTCAGTCTCAAAAAAGTTCCACTGTCAATAAAATTCCACTATCAAAAAATTTCCACCATCAAAAACTTTTCACTATTAAAAATCTTCCACTATCAAAAAATGACAATTTTTTGATAGTCGAAGATTTTTGATAGTGAAAAGTTTTGTCACATTTTTACAATTTGTTTTTTTTCAACTATCATTTACAATTTTAGTGAATAATTTATTAGAGAAGAAAATAAAAAAGAAAAAAGAATTGAAAAGAGAAAAAAAAATAGAACAGAAAATAAAAGAAAACAGTAATGAAAATAGAAAAGAAAACAGTAAATTAAATAAAAAAGAAACCATCAGTAAAGAAAATAGAATAGAAAACAAAATAGAAATCATCCCCAAAGAAAAAAAAGGAAAAATAATAAAAGGACGAAGCAAAGTATTAAGAAGCCTGGACTAATATATGAATTACAGAAACGCGACGTGCCAACGTCAATTGAAAATAACTCGACGATGCTTTTGTGTCTGACGTGCGACAGAACGCCATCAGGACGTCATGGTTTATCCATCATTTTACCAGTGGGACACACACGGCAAAACGAGAGATCCGCCTTACTCTCGCGAGGAGAGCGACAACATTGCCCGTGCTCTCAAATCAATTATCCATATATTTTTTCATTCTTGAAGAAACAAAACCGCAGGAAAAAGAAATAAAGAAGAAGAAGAAGCAGCAACTCTCTCATCTATTTTGTTCCACAAACATTTCTGCATTTGATCTTGTTCAAAAACTTGTCCTGCGTCTGCCTCCTCAAAAAAGATTCATCATTTATCAAAATAAGCTCGCTCTCGCCACGCACTCGGCAAAATCGCGCGACGATGAATTTTACTCCTGCTGAATAAAAAATTTTGCTTTAGATCTTTTGGAAAAGTTCGAAAATCTTTTTTCCACAATTTTTTTTTTAATTCTAAATAGGTAGTGTTGTAATTCATTTCTATTTTTCTTTTTTCTATCCAATTTTCTTTTTTATTTTATTTTATATTCTATTTTGTTCCTATTTTCTTCTTTATTTTATTTCCTATTCTAGTTTTTTCCAATTTTCATTCTATTTTGTTTTCAAATTTCTTTTCTATTTTCTTTTCTGTTTTCTTTTCCAAATTCTTATCTTTTTTCTTTTCTATTTTCTTTTCCAATTTCTGTCCCTATTTCTTCTCTTTTTTCTTTTCTATTTTCTTTTCCAATTTCTTTTCTATTAAATTACTAGCAAAAATTGTAAGTTATAATAAATAAAAACTAATTGCAAAAAAATTACAATTTTTTACAGTAAAACTCTTTTGATAGTGAAACTTTTTTGATAGTAGAATTTTTTTATAGTCGTAATTTTCTTAAGTGAAACTATTTTGATAGAGGAATTTTTTTTCTAGTGAAAAATTTTTCGATAATTATTATTATTTTTTAGAAAATATTAATTAAATTAAATTATTTTCAAGAATTTTAATATGAATACAATTATTTTCAACAATTTTGATGAAATTAAAATTTCTTTTAAAAAAATCATTTTTTTTTCAAAATTTTTAATAATATTTCTTCAAAAAATTCAATTCTTTTCAAAAATTCAGTTAAAATTCTTCGAACCAATTGAATTATTTCTATGAATTCTAAAGTTCTCAGCAAGCATTTAATTATTTTTATATAAATAAGAAAATTCTTATTTAAAGAATTAAAATATTTTCATAAATAATAAAATGTTTCCGAGGAATTCAATTATTTCCAACACAGTTTTAATAAAATTTCTCGAAAGAATACAATTATTTTTAAAAATATTATTTAAATTAAATTATTTTCAAGAGTTTTAATAAAAATTCAATTATTTTCAAAAATTCAGATAAAATTCTTCGAAACAATTAAATTATTTTTACAAATTTTAAAATTCTTGTCAAGAATTCAATTATTTGTGTGAATAATAAAATTCTTCTGAGAAATTCAATTATTTTCAATAGGTACAATTTTTTAATTAAATTTCTAGGAAAAAATTTTATTATATTCAAGATAAATTTAATAAAATTTCTCTAACCGGTTCAATTATTTTTAAAAATTGTAATAAAATTTTTCTAAAGAATTGAATATTGTTTTCAAAAGTTTTTAATAAAATTCTTTGTAAATTTCAATTATTTCCAAAATTTTCAATTAAAATTACTTTAAAAAATTACATTATTCGTTTCGAATGCTCAAATGAATGAAATTTATTTTCTATTTAGATATTATCAAAAATTATTAAACTAAAATGGAAAATAATGCAAATTAAATATTTATTTAGTTCTAACAATTATTTTCTATAATACACAAAATAAGTTTATTATAATAAATACAAATTAAAATAAGTAACCAAAATTCCGTATAGTTTATTTAAACATTCGGATCTTTAGGTACAAAAATCGAAAAAAAAATTGAAAATTGTAAACTAAATTGAAAATTTCAAAATTACAGAACTTTGTATAATTGTAAAAAAAAATCAGAAAAATTATAAAAATAATTATTCGAGAATTTTGCTAAAGTGACTGCGGACGAAATTAATTAGAAATTGGAGTCAAAAGTAGTTAAAAGAGTTGAAATTTGTTCGCCGTTTGCTAAAAAAAAAAGAACAAGAAGAAGCAATGCAGTAATTGAAGTTGAGAGTGGAAAAAATTGCTTCATTATGAAAATTTAAAGAATGTCACGATCTACTTACTGTGTGCGGAGTGTAAATGCGGCAGAAGTGATGCTTGACGGAAGATGAAGACCTTTGATTATTTCCTGCCATAGTTTCTTGTTAATGACATCAACTAATCCGCCTCGGGCAATGACTAAATTGTAGAGTTCGTAGAGGTCCAATACAGATTTTGCCATTATCGGTAATCGATTGATCGGCGTTCCTAAAAAAAAAGAGAGACATAATTAATTAGTAAGCAATAAATCTTATTTTCATATTTTATTTTTTCTTTCTGTATATAATTATATATTTTACATCTAATTTTTTTTATGTTTATATTTTCCATTTTTGTCTTTATTTACTTTAGTCTTTATTTACTTTACTTTTTTTTTTAGTTTTAGTAAATTTTTTCAATGAGAAGACAAAAAAATCGTCAACGGTTCTTAAGCAAAAAAATTTCTTCTAGAATTTATTTTTGAAAGTAAAAAAAAAATACTTTCAATGCGAGAACAAATAAGAAACATTTTTCCTGAGGGAAATTCACTTGAAAGGTCAAATATTTTGAATGGGAGAACAAATTAAAAAAATTTTTCCTGAATAAGAAACATTCCCAACTTTTATTTTTGGGAATAAGTCAGAAAGTTGAATAAAAAAATTTCGCTTCTTGCAAAAAAGGCAAAAATTCCCCTGAGACGAATCGAAATATATTTCTATTACTAAAATATCACTCAGAAAAAAAGGGAGAAAATTGTCCAAAAAATAAGAAAAAAAATCGCCAGGAGAAGAGGTGGAAACTGGCGAATTCTTCGGATGTTAAGTATATACATGTAAAGCCCTTCGCATATGAATTTTACGAGTTTGTCCAAAAGAAAAGGAAAAAGAGAGATAGTACGGGCGTTAACGAGAGTAATAACGAATTCGCGACTATCACGCAAGACTAACGTATAGTTTTACGAGCTTGCGAACAATTCTGAACTCCTCTGTCTCTCGGCTTTATAATACGCGAACAATACATTTGGCGCACGTGTATTTTCTATATATTATATCTTTGCCAACATGCATCCAATATATGTATATATATAGTATATACACCATAAAACTGATGTAAATACAAACGCAAAGTTAAGTATCGCAAGATCGTTTATCCGCCATCGACGACGAAGGGTTGCCGCCATTCCTGCCAGAGCAATAACGTCCCTAGAGGTAGGGGAACCAACAATTTCGGGCTATCGAGCTTGGCCCCTCCGGGTTTATTATTGGCCCCGCAATTATTGTTGATATACGCGTCCCGGCAACCAGTTTTATAATGCTGGCTATATAATACAGGACGCAACAATAAAGTCCGCTGGCAAAATGGCGTCTCTCTCTTCTTTTTTTCTCTTTTGTCTCTCTCTCTCTCTCTCTCTTTTTTTGACAATTACACATTCTCATCGCGAGAGTCAAACTCCAGATCTACATGTCCTGATAACAAAAAATTTCATTTTAGTCAATTTTGAAAAAAAAATCTCTAAATATTTTTTTAATATAAAATATAAATCAGGATTTACGACAAAAATTTGATTTTGCAATTCATCTTCTTTTCCCTGATTTTCAGACAGAATTTAATTTAATTTATTGTAAAATTAAGGGGAAATAATTCTGCATGGAGAGAAAATAAATATTAAATTAATGTATTGAAAATCGTGGAATTGTTGCAAAGAATTTTATCAAAAAAAAAATTTATAATAATAGAATTCCTTCGAAGAATTTTATTATTCAGGAAAAATATTGAATTCTCGCGAAGAATTTTGTTAAAATTTTGAAAAATTCTAATTTAATTCTTTTTGAAGAATCTGTTTGAATTTTTTTAAATAATAGAGTTTTTTTTAATAATTCTTACGAAGAATGTCATTTATTTATAAAAATAATTGAATTATTTTGAAGAATTTTATTAAAATTTTTTAAATTTATAAACAAGAATAATAGAAATTTGAATAAAATTCTTAAAAAATTCAATTATTTTTGTAGAATTGTAAGAAATTTCAATTTTATTTCAAAAAAGTTCAATTACTTGTTTATAAAAATTCAATTATCTTGAAAAAATAGAATTGAAATGTTTCAAAAACTATTAATTTTTTCACAGCAATTGATATTTTCAAAAATTTTAATTAAAAATTAATTCATTTTAATTAAAAATTTTTATTTAAAAATTTAATTTAAAATTATTTTTTTTAGAAAATTGCAATCATTTCCAAGTTAATAACAATAATACATCGGAAATGAATTGAAATAATTTTAAAAGAATAAAAATTCAAAGTCTGGTTCTCCTTGAAATTATTCGCATGAATTAATTGACAGTTAATTTCTGAATTATTATTGTTTTTTTCCTATTGTCTTTTGATTGCACTTTATAAACAACATTATTATTATATACACACATTTATATAAATAATATATCCGAACATATGAAAATGACGCTGATAAAAATGACCTCGTTTAATGGAATCTATTTGATAAATATTAACGTTGATAGATAATTTAAACTTAATTAGTATACGTTAAAAAGAACGAATTTTTCAATTTTTATTCTCTATTAAAAAAATTCCCTATTTTATGATCAAAATCTTTAGGTTTAAATTACATTTGTGAAATATTCGATAAATATTATTTTCTGCATTACAAAGCAAAAAAAAAATAAGAATCATTATTTAAGGTAAAAAGATAACGAACAAATTTTTGCTCCTTAGGTCCCTTTTTTCGCGACGCGTTACATATATATACTGTAATAATAATACAATTATAATAAAACGGATGAAATTATACTCAACGAATTTTATAGCAAGAGCTGTATAAATGCGGAAAAAAGAAGAAATAGCAAGATCCGCTACCAACACACCACTTTGGAGAACATAAAGCGAAATATTTATCTCTTCAAATACAATTCTCTCCTCTCCCTATATCCATAGAATCTCTATATTTGCCAAAGAAATCCAATCAAGATGAATAATTTTTTCCTCTTCTTCACTTGTTGCGAATAAAAAGCGAAATACAATCAGGAATAAAATCCTGTAAAACGGAAAAAGAGGAAGGTGAAAAAGAATTTATAAACCATTTTTTTCCATTTATTTTTAATAATCTTTAAATTTTATAAAAATAATTGTATAATTAAGAAATAGAAATGATTCAAATTATTTCCTTATGAAAATTGAGAGAATGATTTATGTGAACAATATTGTTTAGAAAAAAATATTTCTGCTATTTAAAATTTAAATCGAAAGAAAGTAATTGAAAAATTTGAAAAAAGTCGCACATTTTACTAGAAAAAAATGTCGAAAAAGTCGCATTTTTTCACAAAAAAGTCGAAAAAAGTCACATTTCCTTAAAAAAGTCGAAAATGTAGGAGAAGAAGAAGGAAGAGAAGAAGAAGAAAGAGAAAACGAGAAAGAAGAAAAAGAAGAAGAAAGAAAAAGGAGAAAAAGAACTAGAACAAAAATCCAAGTACATTACGCAGCAATAAAACTAAACTATCGATTCCATCGAGATACTTAATATCGGACGATTATCTCTCGCAGAATCCCTCTTTCGCCATTCTCAACGCCATAGATTCAACTTTATGGCGAATCCTCCTCGATTCTATAGACTTTTTTTCATCAACATCATCATCATCATCACAATCATCTTTTTCTTCTCCACTCATTCGATTTTACGAAGTGCCGACCGAAGAAAAGAAATCACAAAATACACTTGCGCTAACCTTGCAGTATTATATCGACGAGACCCATAGCAGAAGGTCGCATCAGTCAAATGGAAGTGTGGAGGGTGAGGAAGAGAAATTGAAGGAGAAGCGAAATGAGTCAGGAGGGAAGGGGGGTAAAAAGAGGCGAAAGAGGTCTTATTGTTTGACGCGGGTGAAGGAGGAAGGAAGAATGAAAGAACAAGAGAGCAAAAGAGAGAGAGAGAGTGAGCCCCGTAGAGGAGAAGCATTTCAGGATGCGATTACGACTTTTCTTGGTAGGGCGTCCAATCAGCAGTTATTTTTATAATGGCCGCCGACGTTGGTCCCGCCGAGTGGTACCAAGTCACGGTGGCCATTGCCATGCATTTTTCAACCAAGCGAAACTAGCCCTTTTGCTCTCCGATCGTACTTGTGATGCTTGTGATACTTGTGATCCTAGCGATTTTATAAACTCCATTCAGTAACTTATTAGGCGCATTTCGCCTTTAAAATTCAAACACTGTCAGCCAATAGACGATCATCAACTAAAATTGTCGGATTTTTTAAGGTTTCCCGCAGACATCGACTTCACAATTATAGGCGAAAACTGATAAACTATTGTCCTCCAGAATGAAAGGCCAATCAACCACTTCCAAAACAGAAATCCTCAAGAAGAAAACCTAAAATCAATAAAAATTTTAGAAAACATTCTCCGCTAGTTTGAAAGAAGTCAAAAATTCTCTACATCACAATAGTTACAATAGTAGTTTTTCATGAAATTGAAACAAAAATAAATTGAGACAAAAAAACGAATAAAAATCCCACTTTTTTCGAAAGTACCCTCCGGGATTATTTCTTTCTCCTTTCCAACTCATTCCAGTAATATCGTGAATTTTTACTGTTTCACTGTTAACCGAATTCGGCCCTCAGGCTCAGGCACAATTTACCCAATCGAGAGAAAAAAAAAATAAGAGAGAAAGAGAGACTGACTTGTCATTTCAGAAAAAAAATATCCCTCTCAAATAATATTTGAAACTAATTATATAAAATTAGCCTCCGCCGAGAATGATGAAAAAAAATCCCCTCAAACCTTTCTGCAAAAGAAAACAATATTGAGAACATTAGTTGTCGAATCGACGAAATTCAGAGTAATTAATTAAACAAGTATTTATCATTCTTTGTACTCGATAAATAATCTTTAAAAAATAAAGCAGTAAAACAAAAAGTAGCTATCGAAAAATTAAACTTGACGACTTGATTTTTTTTAATAATTTCTTAACTCTATTCAAAACTATTTAGAATAATTTTTTAAAATAAAAATTTTTGAATGTTTTTGAAATTTAACTATTTGTAAAAATTACAAAATTCTTTCAAGATTCAATTTTTTTTTTTCTGGTGGTATTTTTTTAAATAAAATTATTCAGAACTTTAATAATTTAATTCAATATTCTAAAAAAATTCTTATTAGAAAGTTCTACGAGAATTCAATTATTTAAATGCAAAAATAAATAATTTATTTGAATAATTGA